CGTTCACTAGTAAAAACGTCTTCTTAAAAGCCCAATTAATTCAATAATGTAAAAATGCATGTGTATGCAAAACAAAATTATATTGGATCCAGTAAGAACGGTACAGAGAGCGGTGATGCAAAAATTCTGCAATCTAATTTTATTTATTAGTTGTAGTCGCACCAAGCCTCACTAAGATTTCCCTTTTTTGGGGCCTTGTTTATTTAATACTTGTAATTGAGTTCTTTATACATATATTTAATAATAAGCACCACTCATTCCTTAAAGCTAGAGTTGATTAGAAAACTTATTGTCAAAAACATTAATGTTTTGCGTCGCTGCAAAAATTTTAAGGTTTTCTAAATTTAATAATCTCTCGAGTTCTTAACCGATTTTGATCATCCGGATTAGTTTGAATGTCATTTCTAAATTGCATAAGAATAATCGGTGCAAAATGTCATCAAAATCAATTGAGAAATGACTGAGATATTGAATTATTTCTGTCAGTTTTTGGGGTGGGGTCAATACACACAATATGTAATTTTTGTTGCCAGGTATAAAGGTCACTAAAAAATTGCAGTTTTTAGATTTCAAATTTGAATAACTTTCTGAGTTCCTAACAGATTTGGATAATCTTAGACTTAAAATAACCGGAATGACTTTGTCTACAATGTTTTCAATAAGGGAACATGTTTGGATCACCCATTAATGAACTATGAAAAGAAATGTTCAGTAAGGGACAAATTTTCGCGTATTTTTGCCAATAACTCTCTCAAAAAACAAAAATTCCAGAAGGCGACTCGCACATCGTTTTCAAATTATCTAACAATGATCGGTGCAAAATTTTATCCAAATCGATTGAGAAATGACTGAGATATCGTCGGTGGTCACTTTTTTGGGGAGGGTCAAATGCATACTTACAATGCGATGGTGTGAAGTGTAACCCTCCGATTTGGCTTAAATTTTAAAATTAGGTGGTCCAAGCCAATACAACTAACGTTTCTTCAGGCAGTTTGTGCGATGGTGAGAGTTACTCAATATATTTGAGGTCAAAGTTCAAAAAACTGCCGACTTTTTTCAGGCGGAGTGAGAAAACTCCACTTCCAGTCTCTTCCCCTCGCTTTGATTTGCAGGTGTCTCGCTCACGCATACGCCTTCATGCTTAAATAAGTGCGATTTTTACTTATTTCTAGTACAAATTTACATAAAAGTTAATTTATAAATTCGCCAACGGTAAATAAACATGGAAAAACTTAACTTGCTTTCCATTTCGAACGCGTTGGTTCTAATATCCAATTAATTTATATTTTAAGTGCTCCTGTGTTTGTTCCAATGATTCGATATTGTTGGTACTCGAGCGGATTATGGGGTGATGACGAAAAGCCCGAGTTTAAAAATGTAAACGACGTTTGTTTTAGAGAAAAAAAATATTAGTTGCGACCTGAATTGTGGCAATCCCACATTCATCAAATTCAGCTGGTGCAGTTTATCGTATTGTTTCGTGGACTTTTATGAAAATAATCATACGGTCACATGTACAATGAATAATTAATATTTTTCTACAAAAAAAATTAAATTTAAAATTGTTGAAATGAATTATTTTTCGGAGTGAAAATCAAAGCGAGGGGAAGAGACTGGAAGTGGAGTTTTCTCACTCCGCCTGAAAAAAGTTGGCCGTTTTTTGAACTTTGACCTCAAATATTTTGAGTAACTCTCACCATCGCACAAACTGCCTGAAGAAACGTTAGTTGTATTGGCTTGGACCACCTAATTTTAAAATTTAAGCCTAATCGGAGGGTTACACTTCACACCATCGCATTGTTAGTAATTTTTTTGTTGCTAGGTATTTGCCTCACTAAGAAAAATAAGCATAGCTTTCAAAGGGTACAGAGACATTTAAAAATGGACCTCTGTGACTGTGACGACAAATGACCGTGGACATAATGCTTGCTGATATCTATAGTTCCAGACGTTAGTGTGACTCCTCTGACTGCTCACATTCAGCATACAAGTGCATACATATATCATATGTACGTATTTACATGTAGGTACATCCTTTGATCATCACGTCAACAACTTCTTTGTCCTCCTTCAGCCCATTTATGTCTTAAATTCCTATGATCTGATCCAGTCCAACGAGAGTATTTTTGATATAGGATCACAGCCAGATTTGCACATGCATTCAGTTTCGCATCACATGAACGACGGACAGGCAAAGGATTTTACAAAATTCTGCAAAATGCGAAGCACAGAGAATAATGTTGAATGTTCTATTTCTTGCTGTATGCACTGGTTTGGCTGTGGATTTGTTGAGATCGATCTTGTCTCTTGTGGATGAGGAAATCGCGACGATTTAGGTAGCGAAGATACGACAACTTGACTCCTATTTCTGAACGAGAAGGAATTTGAACGCAATATAATTCGATGCAATACATGGAAATGAATTCTAACCCGAGGGATGTATGTACATTTCACAACTAGCGTATATGTCTGTATGTACTTGTACACTCAAGAATAAAGGGAGGAAGGAAGGAAGGAAGGAGGGACGGAAGGAAGGAAGACAATCTTCTTTCGTCAAAAAATTCAGGGAAACGGATAAAAACCAAACTTTCTTCCATCATAAACGGGAAAATCAAACCATTTCTCTTCTTAAAGCAAGTGGAATAAGAATACCATTTTCAATTGTAAAGAAGGATAAAGCTCTCAACTTCACTTACTCTGCACCTTCAATTACAAATCAATTAGTAGAAAAGGTATCAGAATCAGATACAGAAAAATAGCCCATTAAAATCAGCATATAAAAGTTATTAATTCTTTGTTGTTGTATAATAAGAGTGTGGTCAATGAAAGTCGATACTTAATAAGGTAACGTGCCGGAAATCCGGAAACGACGCTGAGTTTTGCTTTCATTGCAAGTTTTGGAGTTTTGAAGGCAACATTAACATATAAATGCATGTACGAAAAATCGGTCTATATTATCCGCTGACCATTTTTGGGGTATTGGTACACATGCTTAGACAGCAAGGTCCTCTTCTTTCTCTGACTTTCTCCAACTTCCTCCTCGAAGGAGAGAGCAAATCCGAGTGGTGTGGTGAGACAAAGAAAGAAGCGGAAAAGGGCGGACGTCAACATAAATAGTCACTTAAGGTAATAACATACACAGATAACTCAATTCCTCCTATAATTTATCCTCCTCGCTTTCCCTGGTAGAAAATATATGGGCCGGGCTTACCCACCACATAAACAATTTCCATTCACATCCCTCCACCAGCAAACGGAAACCCAGAATTGAGTCAAGAGACGGAACCCAGCAAAACCTTAAACTTTTAAACCCAAATCCAGGTCGAAAAGAGATAAACGGAGTTAACCAGTCAAAAAAGAAAGTATCCGACCACCACCGGCATAAAATACTCCGCACTCTGCTCGAAAGGCTTTCTCTTTAGTAAATCTTTATAAATGGCACAAGAACGCTTTCTACCGATCTGGTAACAACTTGATGGTATATGTACTTATTATTTCGCATTGTATATAAATGATAGTCAAAAATGATCAGATCTGGTCTGACTAGGAGAAACCTCCAATTTTTAAGACCTGCCTTCCACCAAATTTAACAAATGCATATTGCCTATAAGTATGCCAAGTTCGTTAGTTAGATTTAAATCCTATTGTTGTTTAACGCTTTATAAAAACAAAATGCAAAATAAATTTAGCTTAAGATCAGGCAGGCGCCTTGGTCTTTCAATCCCCAAGAAAAGCAGAAATCCAAAGTATTGCAATTGCAGGGTTTTTAGAGCGAAATAATAATAATTTCCTTAAATAAATAAACTTCTTGTTCTCATCCACTCGTAAAAATTCCAATTCCAGCAAAGAAAAGTCATTCTCTGAATTATCGGGGAATGCATCTCATCCATCTTCCAACAAAGTACAGTAAATCTATCTTTCGACTCTCGACTGCAATGCACCCAATAGCCAGCCAACCAAGTACAACAGTGAAACAAAATTAAGAATCGAATCAAATTGAAGGGTATTTTTCTCCCTTGTTTGGGACCTTGTTGTTTATCCAGTGTCCCAAAATCTAATCCAACTGACTGCTGGACGCCGATGTAGTGAAGCATGTTTTATGTATATGTACACCATATAATATATAGCCTTGTCTTTGTCATCATGAGAAGAGAAAGCACAACATAAAAAATTTAATTATAGATTATGAAACGTGCAGACTTAATGTACTTTATTTATTTTTACTTAATTTTTTTCAGAAAATGGCCAATGTAAAAATGTCATCATCGTTTACATGCATGCGCTTATCTTCAAGTTACAGCAGAATCAATTCGAAATTAAATGAGCTTATTTAACAACTTATCGTATCAATGCTAGTTTATTGCTGTTGGGTGCTAAAATGTCAAGAGGTGTTGGATGGCGTGAGTGAAAGTCGATATATGTACGTATGTAAGTACATACAGTACAGAAATTATACTTGGACCTATTTTTCATTCTTCCTCACCCTCTTCAATTCTATCATCCTTCTCCATCTACAAATCAATCAATCACTCGCAGAAAACACCAAACTGCCAACTTTATTATGTGTGTCGTGTCACCAACAACCTTAATTTCAACTTTCCTCTTCCTCACGTCTTATGAGGTCGTCCTATGTGGAAAAGTATAAGGCAATTTTTCTTAACATAATACTCAGTTAACCATACCAAAGAAAGTTGTATTTGGAAAAAAATATTTTAGTATTAAGGCGACTGTAACGAGTCGGAAAGAGTAAGAATTCTGCCAAGTCTATGTATGTATATGTATATGTAGACTACGTAATGTAGTGACGGTGTGCTTGACAGAGAATTATGATGTGGAAACAGACAGGAATAGATGCGTCCATTTTGATAATTTTGTCCCACAGAATGAGATGCAGATATTTTCTTCACGTACATAAAACGAAACGGGGTTTCAATATACAAAAATGGATGATGTATGAAGGTGTCTTATAATAGGTGTTTGCTATAATTGAACTATACATGTACGTTAACATTTCCAATTGTGCATAGATCTTTAATTGGTTTGTAATAAATCATGAAAGGAGAGCCATAAATAATCATCATAGTATCAAAATTACATGTGAACATATATGTGCATGTACCTACAGATTATACATGTAACGAACTATCGGTAAATCTTTAATTTCAGGGAGTCATTCAAAAGACGAGTTTCTTTACTAATAGTCCTGTCGTATCCGTTGCTTCAAGCAACTTTCTCTTGAGACTAGGTTTGTCATCAGGAACGGCCCTGTTCACATTTGACGGCAACGGAAGAAGATGTCCCGGTGTAGGTCCTGGTTTATTACTGAAGAAGGAATGTTGCAAGGCCTGAGTTGCAGTTGATCTCTCATTGGGATTCAGTCTTAGGAGTGACTCCAACAGAGATATCATGTCATCCGGAGCAGCAGTGAAAATATCCCTCAAAGATCTTGCTGGACAAGGCTTAAATTCACAAAAGTCTGGAAGGGTCCGATGACCAGCCCAGTTGGATTCGGTGGGTGTGCCCAGCACATCAAATATTTTCGTTAGTTGGCCCAGATCAGAATCGCCAGGAAATAGAGGGACGCGAAGGAGCAGTTCAGCAATAATACATCCAACAGCAAACATATCGACACCATCTCCATACATACGTGAACCAAAAAGTAACTCTGGTGCTCTATACCATCTCGTCACGACTTGATGGGTGTATTGACGGTTTGGAGATCCGTAATAACGAGCTAGACCAAAATCGCCAATTTTCAAAACACCTTTGCTATCTATTAACAAATTATTTGGCTTCAAATCCCGATGTAGTATAAAATGAGAATGTAGATATTCCAGTCCTTTTAAAGTCATAATTGAATATGCCTTTATATTCGCCGGTGTGAGAACAATTTTCGACTCTTTAATCACTACTTCAAGGTCGATGTCCATGAAGTCAAAGACGAGAGAGATATTTGATCTATAACCGAAAACATCCAATAATCCTAGAATATTAGGATGGTGTAATTCTTGTTGGAGTTTAATTTCTCTGAGAGCAGTTCTATTAACTCCATCGTTGAATTCAGCTTTAGAACCAACTTTTATCTATAATGAATAATTGCATTGTAAACTATTATTTTGTGCTTGTTAAAACATGAGAGAAAGTTTAAAAACCAAGAATTACTTTTTTCACTGCAACGATCTTATTCTCCACGAGATCTTTGGCTTTATACACAGTAGCGAACTGTAAACAAATTTTTGTCATCAGTAATTAATCAGCAACATACTTTTATTTAATTGTACACCTCTTTAGAATCAGGAATTCAACCTACCTGTCCTTCGCCTAAAAATTCAATTTTTTCATAACGCCGGTCACTTTTCAGTCCTCCGTTTTCGGACATTTCCCAATTCGCTCGATAAGAAGAGTAAAATGTGCAAAATTTATTAAATTAATTTATGAAATTAGCAGCGGTTTATTTATTTGCTTTCCTCAGCTAAACAGAAGTGGCGACGTACAAAGTCCGCGGACTGAGATCACATGACTCAGAAATGGGAAACCAACAAAAATAATAACATTTGCTCATCTGCATTGCATCTGTGTAACGTAATACTTTCGTTGGTTTACGTTTTGAAGGAATGCAACTTACAACTTGCAAGCACGTCATTTCTCTCACTTTCCGTGCAAAATCGCCAACATAAAGTTGATAGTCTTCGCTGCTGTCCTATTCAATTCAATTACCTTCTCAAGCTCAATTTTGAATCCGTGGGTAAGTCTTTATTTCCTATTCGTTGTGATTGTTGTGTCACATGTAATTTTATACTTTAAATTTAATTTATACGACTTGTGACCCTTTATCAAAATAATCAGGAAGAACGAATAGGAAACAGATATTTATCAGGAATCAAGGGATGATTCAATGACCAGATTCAAATCGAAATAACTTTCAGAGTTGTTCTCGCTACTAGCATGTGTAATTGCACCAAGAACCTTTTTCAATATTTTCTTTTTAAAAGGGAAATCAGTAAATATATATTGATTTTTAGCCAAGTGCCAAGTCGACGATTTTAAATTAGACATTGCACTACACACTATTTTAATCTTTTGTTCGACATTTCTTAAGTCATAAAGGTTGAACATATAGTGAGTTTTATCAGTTCTACTTATTTGTCCTTTTTATCAGGCAAGCAACCGACAACAAATCTATTAAAGGAGTGGGGGTGGCTGTGCAGTGATTTCTGAGACTGAATATCTATGGAGGGCAACCGACGGAACGCCGGAAACGGGAATGGGGCGAACCGTTGCGGGGACTTTCTGATGGCTGGGATTCGCAAACGTCGAATCGTGGGAACAAAGATTGCAGCAAGTTCTCCAGCACATCGACGGTCCCTCTTGAAACGCCTGAAAGGAAGTCTAGGATATGCAGATCAACGCTTGTACACTTCCAGACAGGTTTGGATTTGACATATTTTATTTGTGCAAATTACTTGTCACGTCTTATTCACCCAACATTTACTTATCTTTGTCGTTTGATTTTGCTTGTTTCAGTTTCAAGAAGGGTCAAACAAATACGAAGAGTTTTTCTGCTACAACGAAAATGAGGAAGGGGATGAGATGGTCGGAGTTGATGGAGAGCCAAAAGGTATTTATAAAAGTACTTAATGTGTATTAATTAGACAATAGTAATGAAATGATTAGTCAATTAATCTATAGAATACAACTGTCATTGTCATTGACTGTCAAGAATTTGCTAATTTATATGTATTTCAATTGCAGGGGCGAACTTGTTTAAAGACATTTCAATCAATATGACAGACTTTGTTATGGAAAGACAAATGGGGAACGTCAAAAATCTGATAAGTTTACAACCCCGTGTTATGGGCGAAACATTTCAATCTCAGTCAGACATGCCGGTTAGTTATATTAAAAAATATATAGTTTACATGTATTAAGATTTATTATATCACATTTTGCACGTATTATGGTTCTATTGTTTTATAGTGTGGATTGATGGCCATGTCCCACCTTCTGACCAATCAAATTCTTCAAGAAAAGCCAATAAAAGTTGAAAACCTAAACAAAGTGTTCTGTTCTCAGTGGCTTAGTGACAGACAGGTTATATTTGGCACTAAATGCAATAAGGTTGGTTGGTACATTCATATGTAGTAATTTCTAACAATTATTAATATGAGTCAGCATCTTAAAATAATTTTTATGACACAGCTTATGGTACTTGATGTACAAACGAAGCACATGACCCAAATCCCATCGCTTGCTCCGTCGCCTCGAAGTCTTCCTCCAGATTCGCAGTGTGGAATACATTCCATCCAAATTAACCCTTCTCGGACCCTCTTAGCTACTGGTGGTAAGTTACACATACTCTAATGTGTCTTTATGTAGCAACACATTCTCTGTATCCTAAAAAGTAATTTCTGTTAATGGCCAGTAGAGAGATTAATGATAATAATGTGTACATATAAGCCAATCTACTTGTTTCTTTGTACTTAATTGTTTTTTGTTTTTTTGTGAAGGTAAAAATCCAAATGACGTTGGTAAGATTATATTATCATTATTACTATTATAGTATATCAAGTCGTTAGTACAAGCTTCATGTTCTTATAATTGATTTTTAGCAATTTACCGACTTCCAACATTGGATCCTGTAGCTGTAGGCGAGGTAAATAAATACGCATGCTAAATAAAATAAATTAGTACTTATTTATTTCACGATTCATAATGTTTATTCGAATTACATCTTATTTCAGGTTGCTCATCAAGACTGGGTATTTGCATTATCTTGGCTGGACGATGAGTTTTTAGTATCCGGATCACGTGACACTGTACGTAATTTATTTATGTGTTTATGTGTGTACTGTAAAGTCACTTAACTGTAGAGTTTTTCGAATGATTACGTTATTTCCGTGATTTTTGTTCATCATCTTGTTGAATATTCTGTATTGTGCCGATTGAAATTTCTACCGGCTCGTAAAAGTCGTGTTCAAAGTCGTGGACGAGATTAACCCATAATTTTAGTACCAAAGTCGCAATCTTTAGTGCAGTTTTCCATATGCCAAATTCTCTCATTTACAAACTTGTCCTATATTTTTCATGCATTAACTGTGCAACGTAGCGTTGTAAGGTGTAGATAATGTAATAGGTTCTTCTTATGCCATATGTATTGGAAAAATTAGAATAATTTATTTAAATATTTCAGAGTCTTTCTCTGTGGCGTGTTCCTGAAGAAAGCCCATCATCTTACCCAGAGCAGAAAATTTCTTCCTCGTCGTCAATTCATCGTAGAAATTCGGCCACTTCCTCCGCATCAACTTCTTTCTCCACTAGAAACGAAGTGGTTCCATCCTATTCTTACATCAATGCTGTTGCGACCAAAGAGTGAGTTATATATTTAATTATCAGATTATTAATGCTGTTGTGACCAATAATTATCAGATTATTATTAAGGGGTGAAAACCCCTTTATGGAAATGTCTTGTCCGTCTGTCCGTCCGTCCGTATCCACGATAACTTTAGAACGGATTCGAATTTCGACATCCGGTTTTCGCCAATGTGTTTCTAATTTTTGGGGACGGGATGAGTTCGAAGATGGGCGTTGTAGGTCGTAAGGTCACGGCGCCACGGGGATGACGCCAACGGTCAAACGTGTCGAATTTTTCGTTTCCACCGTTTTAGACGTATTTTTGGATGGGGATTTCAGAAATCGCCATCATTTCGACGTGCGATGACCGTGTGACCGTGTAGACGACGCCAAAGTCGAAAATTGTCGAATTTTTTGTTGCCACCGTTTTAGACGTATTTTTTAGCGGGGATTTCAGAAATCGCCATCATTTCGACGTGCGACGACCCCATGACCGTGTGGGAGGTGTCGAATGTCGAAAAATGACTTTTGTCATGTGGGGTGTCTATTGAAAGGTATTGTCGTGTACGTTTGAACTACGCGGGTGGGGTGTCAAAGCGGGGCAAAATGAGACGTGGGGTAATGTGAGACAATGACGGGAAAGTGCTGAAAGACGTTGTGGGTGTGTCACAAAGACAATTCCGTGTGTTTTCACCCCTTTGCTACATTTCGTTTGCAACGGTTTATTAGTTATATATTTAATTATTTTAGCTGTCGCAGTGCACAAAAAGTCCGAGATATCGTGTTCAATCGCAAACTACAGGAAAGTACGTAGAAATATTATCGTTTTTATGATACTGACAAGGGTTATTTCATTGTGTGGTTTCGAATATAATTCATTCGACTTGTTTTCAGTTGCTTGTGTTTCGCTCAACGGCTACATCCATATTTGGTCAGCAGAAAAGTTCACACAGGTAAGTTTTGCGTGAAGCAAATAGGTTTCAGGTGTTTTTCTCGCTAAATACATTCAATTCAATGTTTTACAGAAATTTTCCAGGAAGCTCCCATTCAGGTGAGAAAGTTTAATTCTAACTAAATACGTATAGACTCAATACACGTGCAATTATTCTTTTGGTTTCAGTATGGAGAATGTTTGTCTCGCTGTGCATGAAGATTATGGACTATATGCCGTGGGAAGTAAATCCCACACCTCTCTTATGGATGCCAGAACAATTCAATGTGTGAAGAAAATTCTCTCAAAATACTCAGGTGAGCTAAAACAAACTTCATAAAATATTAATCATTTCTTGGGGAAACTAATTTTTTATGAATTTACACAATAGGATTTGGAATTCGTTCTACTAATTTTTACTCTTCCCTTTTATCCATCGGCACTGGACAAGGAACAGTCATGTTCTACGATCTCAGGGCTGGAAAATACTTGGAGTCAAATGTTAATTCTGCACGTTCAGCCACTCTCAAATCTAGCACTGGTATTTTATTTTATTATTACATACATTTGTTTAATATGACGACATACATATAATATTAGAAAAACTAAATAGCATTTCAAAACAATTTATACTCATAATAGGTTGGACGTATCCAGATGAAGAAATTATCATGGATGTGTACAGACAAAAATACACCCCCGCAATTTACACCCACTGCGTTGACATGAGTGGGACTCGCATTTTCGCAGCTGGTGGACCTCTACCAATTACTTTGTGTGGAAATTATATAGGATTATGGCACTGACTGACAACAAAATGACAAAAAATATTTATTTATTTGACTTGCAAATATGTTTGAATTTTACGACGGTTTTAGAAGATCTTTAATTGTTAGCCCAAGTATGTTATATTTTTAAATGAAATTTTGATTCATTTAATATTTGTAAATTAATGTTTTAAACTAATACCAGATACCGCACTAAAAAGTTAAACTAGCGCAAACATTGTCCCATAAAATAGCTTGGTACTTGAACGATCTAAATAATCGGAATAAGTCGAAATTCGGTAAATCTGAACATGTAATATTCTGTTTATATCTTGATAATTAGATTTCATGACACTCTTTATTACATGCTATGATTTAGGGATAAATAAATTGACTGATTAATTAGATCTCAAATTTGTCATCATTATCATAATGCATCGTCTGATCTGAGAGTAGACTCGATTGCAATTGAAACCCGGGAGAAAAACCCCAAGTGCACATGGAAGTGTTATTGTTCATAAAATCTAACTAACAAATTGTGAATTACAATTTTACACATAATATAACACATTATTGAATTACTATATCACAGCGTATTCCCGTTCATCATGATAACGATTCAAGCTGGAAATTATTCCAACTTCGTGGGCGCACATTTCTTCAACTTACAAGTATTGCTAAACCCCTAAATTCCCTAGCATAGAATAAATAAAATATTTAAAAATTCATAATACAGGTTCATGTATTTTGTTGTATTTCATGTATTTTGAAGATTTTTTCTTCTCGATTTTGGATATTTACAACCTATTTAATTGGTATTCTCAGAATCCTGAAACACAACACAACGAGTCGTCTACTGACGCCGCTCTGTCAACACCGCTGAGCCTTTGGCGAGAGGTAGGCCGTACCTCCTCCCAGTCACCCCCCAGCTTCAGTCCACGATTACTTGTAATCGACACCAAAGAAAATGTGGCACTTAATCGAGGTAGTGGTAGTAAGCCAACTACTGTTGCTGCCTCCAAACATCAACAGAACATTAGCTTGTGGGGTGGGAAAGTGGAACTCATGGGGGAAGAATCTGACGAAGACGAACAGCCATCCACAGCAGCAGCAAAAAGTGTGTTTGATAACCCTTCCCCACTCCCTACTGATTATTCCCGATGGGGTGACTTTGCAACGTGGAAATTGAGCCCAAATAATATTCATCTCCTTCCTAATTTCTCACACAATCCTGAAACCGGACAATTGGACTCGTACGGACAAGGGATGGAGGTTTGGAAATCGTTAGAAGTAGATGTAGAGGAAGGAATTCGGAGGTTTGCAGAAGAATGTGATAGGCTAGAGGTAAATAATTCTTACTTGATACTTCTACTTTGCAAGAACTCAAGATTAAAATAATTAGTAATTAGGACGTCTTTTTGTATATTTTTGTGTGCAGGGGTTTAATATCTTTGTGGACCAACTTAATGGTTACAGTGGCCTTGCTGGTGGACTCCTTCAACACGTATCGGATGAATATGAGAAGAAAGTATGCCTAGGTATAGGATTCTGTCCCCCCACGCTGACCAACGTACATGATGATGCTTCTGCTGGACGGGCCTTCAGGACTCGGATGACAAACTCAACACTTTTGTATAATGCATTTAACTCTTACTCGACAGTATTTACATCTTTAGGGCTCTGTCAAGATTTCTGTGCGCAACGAATCGTACCAGTAGTATTACCATATTTGAGTTTTAAGGCATGTTAAGAAAAATGCAAACCAATTTTTTATTCGAGTAGAGCTAAAACATGAAATTTTAAACTCTGTCGTTATTTTTCATTATTTCAGGCCGAGTCGTTTTACGAGTCTAGCGCAATATTAGCGGTCGCATTAGACACACTGTTGTCTCCGTGCCTCTCAACAATTCCGTCCTCGACCTCTTCGATATCTCTTCAGGAACTGGCGTCTTTCTTGAGTGCTATGGGTCGAAAAATGACCACTATTTCAACCTCGTTTCCATTCCCTTTAGATTGTAAAAAGTCGTCACTGTTTAGCATATTAAATTCAAGTGGTATGGATTATGTTCGGGGATTGACGCCTGGAGTTAGCCCAGACTTTGAAAGTTCAAACGGCAACTTTTTTTCTGCTAGAGGAATCCCTGAAACTGCCGTGTTATTGTGAGTAGATCAATTGAGTATAATTTTATCTAATGATTTTTAAGATTAAATATATGGTACACTAAATTGAAGTAAGCTTTTATACTTGTTTTTGCAGTGAAGACGAACGGAAAGGGCTAATTGGATACCAAAGGCAGATCAGCAATGCACAATCATGTTTAGACTTATTCACTAAGGAATCGTTTTCAAAGTCCGTGAATATTGTACGAAGTAGTGACATTCCTGTTATAGTAAAGCATCCTTTCCCCTCCAAAGTAGTGGAAGAATTTGCTAAAGACACTTTTAAATTTGGTCAACAATATTCCAACGGTATAAATATCATAATTTATTTAATTGTGATAAGGACAAGCGAGTAGACAACCTAATAATTTCATTCAACAAAATTCAGGTGTTGTAAGCAGTTGGTCCTTCAGTTCCATCAGTTCAGCTCAGAACAGCACAAAATGTGGGGATTTATTGAACAAAGTTGTACCTTCAGGCGGACATAAAAACAATAGAAACAGAATTACTCAAACTTTACCATCTGCCAATGAATTAGGAATGGAAGTGGACGATTTTATGGAGTCTGTGAATAATCTGCAAACCCTTAGAAGTACTTACAATGCTAATTTTGGTGACTAGTTATTGCCAATATTTATCATGTGAAGAGCTTGTAAGTACATAGCTTGAAAGTCCAACTTGGTTTATTGCGTTACATTTAGTATAGTTAAAATTCTGGCATTTTAATTACTGTAGTATAAAAGCTAACAAAATGTGTTTTATTTTTATTACCCCTGCTGCGCAAAATAAAGGTAATGGTAATACTGAAGTTAGTTTAACGCGAACAAACAGATCACTTTTACTCGAACAATTCTTAATGTCACTCGCTGTCACCCTGACTTTACCGGTGTATATTATTCGAGTCATATTCATTACTACTGGTTATTTATCTATTATATATCCTATAAACCTAACTTAATAACAAGTACGAATTTATAGCTAATACAAATCGGAATGCACAGCAGGCATGCTAATTTTAAGTATCGAAAACACAGTTAAGCCACAAAGCACAAGATAATTTATCCTAAGTAATGAAACATTATTATAAAATGGGCAGTAAGGACAGGACGATGAACCACATACTTGGCAGATGTCGAGATTCATCAGAGTCGTATCGTTGACCAAAGTGTTCACAAACCGCTCTAAAATAAACGATAAATTTTATTAAATGGTAACATACCAAAGTTATTTACGTGAAATGTATAATACCCACCTGGCGAATATGACTCATAAAGGGTGGCTTGACGATGTCTCGTTAAATTGGCAACTGGGTACCATCTACATGTACACGAGCATTAATATTTGAACCCAAAACTCTAGCTATAACACGACTATGCATTAATTACCTCTTGACCGTATGGTTGAAACATGTCACATAAGATGGAACCTACAAGTATTTATAACTGTGTAATAATAACTCCAACGCTTGTCACTCGTAAATATAACTATAAATAGGTTTACCCGTTCGAAATACCAGCTCGTTTTTCCTGGCACAGTCCAGGCGTCCTTGAGGAAGGGGTGGATTCCGGAACTGAAATATAATCCCAGAAAATATAAATATCATAATGACCATTTGGGAACCTTGATCATACTCAACCACAACTTCAACATAATCATTCTGGTAATCAGATACAAATTTGCATGCTACACTGACCTAACCAACCTCGCCGCATCCGATTGAATCATTCCATACCCGCTCGGAATTTCCACCTCCAACACCGCACCCCCACTCACTTCGGACTCCTCTAGAAGAATCCATCTAGAAATTTTACAATCCAAAATCATTGCAACAAGGAAATATTTTCATATCTACATTAAAATGCACAATTTAATGTTTTCTAACCTAAAGCAGGCCTCCACTGTAAGATCAGACTTATTTCTTCTGTCGCTGAAGTATTCGACAATTTTAAGTTCGAAGGCGTCCTGTAATCAGATATTTAATGAAAGTATATGATAATGATGTGTAATTTGACAATGTATGCAATCAGTGACGGGATCAGAATGTATTTACCACGGGAGGCGTGTCCTTGTATTCCTCCCAATCCACGCCAAACGCCACTAAATGAAACAAAAACTTTCGTTTAGTAGAGGCGATGCAACGAGTCAATCAATAACTTTACATGCATCGTAGTATTTAAATGAGTACTAATTAAGTACCATCGAGTTGAACCACTGCTTGGCCTGCTCCTCTTCCTTGAATGTTAACGTGACCCCACACTTTTGAGACCTACAAAAGATGATATATGGTTTTTTTGTCTGATCCCACTCCTCCATAGAAGCCTCACTTTAAAAGTGTGTAGATTGTTTATTAGCAGTTGTAAGCATGCACTTACGTCGACTTGTTGAGAAGCGGAAGCTGAGTCTGGGAGAAAGACAAACGGTTCGGCGTCTTCGCCTTGACTTGACAGCTCAATTTTTATTGATACATCCGTTATGTCACGTATTCGGGCACGATTAGCATACTCTGTCAGAGCTTGAAATCAATAGTTATTTTTACCATTAGGGAGTTGTATTTCAAAAGTCAAATATGTAATGCGTTCAGAACCATGTACCATTACAACGCATGTAAGCATTACATATACTTCGGCTATTATAAACTCACCCTGAAATGCTACTGCTGAATCCTGAAAAAATACAAGCCACATCCCAAATTAAACTTAAAATTCAGTCTGGCAACTGAAAGAAGGAAATCACATCTCAAGATGATGTCAAGACACTTCATTAACAAGTATAATTTGAGCTACGTGATTAATTTATGGTAATGTTGGTAAATAAATAATAAGGAATCTCTTCATGGAGATCATAGTACATACCACGGATGAAATAAAAACCCCGTCGGTCAATCTCATCGTATTTAACCAAGCCACAATCTGGAAATAAGGATATCAAAACTATCAAGAGTTCTTACACAATTTTTTAAAATTGGTATTTGTGTTGAAAATCGTAAGTAAATACTCTGTCAGGTATTGGGGAGACTCCATCCCTGATGAGGTAGACCAAGAGAGCATAAGACGTCCCTTCCACAGCGACCGAGTCCCAAAATTCTATGCACATAATGGACATAAGTTTTATTTCAAATGCTTATTTAGTACGTATTTATATGACAGTCATTAAAATATTATTAAAAATAGTAATATATTCTTCTGTGCTTCACAAATCACAATTCATAAATATATCTCGAAAGTATAATTTTTTGAGCGAGATTTGATGTGACAGTGGTATTGAAATACATAGTATCACTTTGCCTCCACTTACACACCTACACAAATACATACATAAGTGCATCTCACTAGTCTCATTCTTCCTTACCGTTGTTTTTAGGTTCAAGAAATGGCCTGTTATTCTCGTATGTAATTGCGTTTGTCACAACAGGCGCTGGAGAAAAGTAGATAAATTCACCTGCAATAGTATAATACTTTAATTAATTCAATAAACATTATTTCATCAATTTTGTTGTCCCTCATATGCATAATCGTAAACCGTTCAAAAACACTCATTTATTCCAAACTGCAAATGTTTTTTCAATTATCTTGTAACCAACATTGTGGCACCCGTTTGACATATTTATGGACTTGGTTGTTGCTGCTTTACGATTACACACCAGAACGTATTGATAGTGGTAATTGTAATTGTCTGGCGGTGGGTATATAAATATGCATCTGAATTCTGAGGGGGAATAGATTATTATGACAGCTGCAATAATGAGCAAGTGTAATTGTTTAGTTTTTGAACCTCAACGCACCCCAATCGTCCGCAGCATGTCATTATTGTCATTATTCTAGCACCACCCTCTCGACGACTCAAACTACACGTATAAATATATGATGGGATTGTGTAGGTGCACATAAATTATTTTCGCTTAATTACCTGCTTCCGTCCTCACAGAATGTAGCAATGAGAAGGCAGACTCTTTTTCAGTGCTATCGGCAATGGTGAGAGCATAGGCAGTAATTGCAATCTGGTAAGGATTCGTGATGTCTGATAAACTTCGTTCTAAAAATCTGCAAAGACAAAATCACCATCAAAATTTTTTTATTTACGTATATTATCAATGTCATACGTCCAAATATATTTAGCCACTTGAGACAAAGTATTATTTGACAAGACAATGACATGTGTATACATATGTTCATCAGTCTCTCCCTTTTCACTCAGACAGCTAAGAGCTTGAGAATAATTGTGTAATTTATATACGAAATACGCCCCTGTAAATACATATCTGCATACTGAAATATGATTTATTTGGGAGCTAATTTATATTGAAGAATACAAGTCATCAAGTTTGAGTAGTGGAAACGAAGTACATAAAGGTGAGTGATGTCGTTAGTAAATTTGAGACAAGGAAAGTGCATTTGTCTGAAAATCTAAATTATACAAACAATAAAACTGCAAACACACCTGAGAGCATTTTGTTTGGCATTATTACACTCAACACGAATATTCCCATCCAGAATGGGTGTCACCAGTTGCAGGGTAATTAGCAAATGAGCCGTGAGGGTCACATTTGCACCCACCCCTTCCATGTTACCCTATGAAGAAGAAAAAAGTGGAGAACAATGCAAAAATATGTATATTGCACACATATTTATCCTGAAATTATACAGAACGCTCGAACTCACCATGTAACCCATCTTCTTGTTAACTGGGAACATCTCATAGTGTTCAGTCTCTGAAAAGCTGCCATCCAAATTCTGATACTTTAGAATCCATTGAATCACTCTAGCAAAAATTGGGCCTTCCACAAAAAACTCATTTTCCCAGTCTTGGAAGGAACCATGCTGGAATATTTGCAAAGCCCAAGAACTCAGCCACACGGATGGTCGAGAAATGTTCCACCTACCGAAAATTAACTTGGATAAAGATAGTGTTTAAATTATTAAAGCTTAGTTTTTCACATTTTAAAGAATCCAGGCAAACTGAATCGTTTCATGATCCAAGCAAAGAGTTTGTTCATATGAGTAAAGACTGGGCGAGAGATCGACGTCGTGAGTTGGTTCGTCAGTCGGAGATAATGCAAGGCCCAAATGTTGGCTGAAAGCTGTAGGAAATTAAATCAAAAAGACCAAAGACGCCTTATATCATTGTCACATGGCAAGAAATAATATTGCACACATTCAGATTCTAACTACATGATTAGTTTAATTTGCATAGGTGTGGGGGGAAGATAATCTCTTACAAATTTTGCTAACCTCAAACAATCGGTCAGCCGTTCCCTTCCCATCTTTTCCATGAGACAGGGATGAAAAATAAAATGCATAGAAATTAATATATTGCTCATGCTTTATAAAACATACGAAAGAATTTCACGTACCTTTTCCCATGAGATTGGACATTGTGCAAGGCAGAGAATTTGGCAATGGACCGATGATATCTCCTAAATTTTTTCCTTAGAAAATTAGTACTAATTTGTTGGTAATGTAATCTAGTGTGCACACCTGAGATTAGAACATGAGCGGAGGGACTGCCGTACACATATTTTCTTTTAGTTTCATATGGCACCCACGGAACTTCTTCCACGAAGATATTAAAATATTTTAAAACAATGGCACGATTTCTCATATCCAGAAGAAGGGATGTGTGCTTCCCAACACCACCTCCCTCAGGCTGACACGCACCCCATAAAAACAATAAAATATTAATTATATGTCGAATCAACTGCAGACATTTTTTTCAAGTTATTCACCAAAATTTCAATCTCGCAAGTTTCAGTATCACTTCTAATTTGAGTAGTCGCCGTAATTGTAACCGTTATTGTGCCCTGGTCAACAAGCGGCTTTATCGGTACTCTCAGCTCTTGCTCAGATTCAGGAGCCATCTGAAGTATCCAGAATAATACTAATAATGTCCTAATATAATGCCGTAAGAAGTGAACTGTGGAAAATTAGTGTCTTTAATACCCACCCAGATAAGTTGTTGGTGATCCCCTCCAGAGAATTGGGGATGATCTTTATCAAACTCGAGCTGTCCGTGCTTTCCAGCATGGACGAAGACATGATCATCCGATCCCGCAACCGTGACCAGGACTAGAATTTCTCTGGGAAGCTTGTTGTACAACATGGCGATAATTCCGACCTGCTCCCCACGACGAACCGACGAAGCATAATCGACTACCATCATAAAAGGTCTATCTGTTCCGTACTGGTGAAAATTTGCAAAAATACATAAGAAGTATTTAGCATAATAATATTTAGCGTAATGTGAAGGAGAAATGTGTGAGGGGAAAATGAGATTTTTGGTGATTGTCTCTCGGAAATGATCTCTCTAATAACAGGATGTACGATTAAGTTGGATCAAATGTACTTAATACCTGTATTGGTTGGTCCAACAAAGCAAATCCACTTTTCTTGCTGATTGCAAAAGCATTGAAATACCAGGTATCTGTTGTTTCCGGTGTTTGCAGCATAAATATTTTGTCTCCGCTGTGCGCAATTGCTTCGTGAACCCAAGGCCATTCATTTCCAGCATCGAAAAAGTCCTAGGAACAAGAATGACATTTTATTCTTGACGTTCTTCTATATCTGAGACCCAATTGTTTAAAGTTGAATTTTATTTAAAAAATAAAGAAGTTCTTCATTAAACTATACGAAACTGAGCCTATCGCCCAGTATGTTTTTTAGTACACTCACCCCAAATCTGTTGGCCCTGTTGACTCTGAAATTGACGATATCCTCATCATTCTGAAAGTCACCTGTTCATACAATGGGTAAAATTCATCCATTTCATTATTATTATATTACACAATTCCAGCAAACAAAGTATTTCCCTTGATTTAACAATGCATCCACTATGAACGTACATATGTAGTAATTTGCTACATTCATTCTGTGGTTTAGTTAATCATTCCTAATTTAAGAATGGAATTGAGGGAGGAAGTAAATAATTGAGTGACAATTAGATTTGCTGCTGCAGTGCACATGTCAATTCAATAAAATTTCATCGTCTGTACAATCATGATTATTTGTAGACTTACAATTGAGCTCATCGGTCCCGTCGCCACAATCCGTTCTACCGTCACATGCTTGTCGACGAAGGTAACATCCGCCAGTTATGCATTCTTCCTCTGGACACTCAACTTCTGAAAATTCATCGCCAGAATAAATGTATTTGTGTGCATGCGTATTTTTTGTTTCGGGGTTTTGTCTCATTTTGCCTCGGGCCGCACTTGTTACGTGTCAAAACACAGAAGCACTTACGATGGAAAGGAGATGTCGATATGAAACCATCCGAGAAAAGAATAAGACTCGTATGCTGTAGACTCCGATAAGTGTCGATGGCGTATGTCATGCAAGGAAAGTACTTGAGTTGATCAGACTTTTCTCCACTCCGGTCACGCCAAACCCATTTTAGCAACGTCCTGCAGATATGCATGTATAGCTACGTGGACTAGGATCACCGTCTCTATTTTGTCATCAACCCAGACTTATCTTAGTAATATTACCTGTTGTGTGGCTCTAAGGAATGCAGCGTTTGAAAAACATATGAATGACTTAGTTCATTCCCAGCCTGCATCAAGTGGCGTGCGTTCCTTTGTGCAGAAACTCCAAAATAAGCGGCAGGGTCTGCGTAAAGTTGCAATTCCACTGTGTCCTTGGACCTGTCTTTCGCACCATTTACGACCAGCGACAGTTTATGTCTTTGAAAATTGTCCACGGGGACAAAAACACTGTCCGATACGACTTCTCCTGTTCTCAATCCCACGTAGACAAACACGTGGAAACCAGGCACCATTTCCGGCTAAATAAATGCGCAAATTATATTGTAGCACAATTATATTTAATTTGATGGCCATATACGCTTACGGAAACGGCCACTGTGAAACTACGCGGAAGGGACCAAGAGTTTTTAAGAAACTCAGTGCTATGCGTTAAGATGAGACCTTTGGCCACGACCTGTTTTTGCCCATATAAAATTAATCGAATCTCAGAATACCCCTATCAGTCATATAGATCCGTATCATAACATCTTGTGCATACCACGTAATGAAAATGTTGAGGTTTGAAATTTGCTTGGAATTGCAAAACTACAAAATGTGAAACTGCCACCGGGTCTCCTGTCCGCAGTGACACGCTGACATATTTTCCTCCCGGTGAGAACGCCGGCACTGCCACCAGCTCTGCGACTGTGCGTGAACCCTTGTCGTCTGAATATTCTGCCCTGATCACAACCCGAGTCGCTTTCTTTGGAACAATGAGATTTACTTCGACAATCCCTTCATCAAAATAGCGCTTGTCCCTGTAAATCCAGCGTTTTATTGCTTCTTATTAATTAGTTTATTCGTGTTTATTTATTACCTTCTCTTCGTGATGAAATTCTGCAAGGAGAATGTTTTCCTTTCTTTGTCGGTCCAATCGGACTGGAAGGTGTACGGGTCCTCCTCCTCCTCCTCGTCTCCCTCCCTCACAACGTGGTTTCGCACATGGGTGTAAATCTCTCTGTCCCGGTCTCTACCACGATCTTGGAAAAAATTGTGAAACTTTTCTCTGGAATTTATCTCGATAGGTTCAAGATCAACACGAGATCCACTGCTGACAAAAGCCTGCGGCGTTATGCGAAGTGTAGATGACTCAAGGATGTCTCGAGGAATGCGTTCCAAATCTTCGTAACCGACTGCCAGCTTTTAGTGATAACATAACACCGTTAATAATAGCAATCAAGATGAAATTGTAATATAAATAATTTTAAATCACTAACGATTGTGCGAAAAGGCATCCCTGGTTTAAAGACTTTTGGGGCAGTCTCTAAGAATTTCAGTCTTATTGTTTCCTTTATAATTCTACTTTCGGCATATCCTGCGCAATCCGAATAAGCAGTTTCGTTGTCACAAATTATGAAGCTCATTGTTTAGTGTTTCTTTTTTCATACCAAAACGAGTTTCATCCAAAAAGAATTCAGTGACTTCAGCCTCTACCCGAATTCCCACATTTGACGAGGTTCCAATGGCATCATAAATTACTGACATTGGCCACCTAAGCTCTTGCGTCCCCAGCTAAACCAACCCAAAGTGAAGTTTTTACAAATGTCCTCCACCACTGACTACCAAGACTACGTAATTATACGGACCAGGAACACCGATTGAGTGTCGAAAAGAGTGTACTTTTGTTGGGAGGGTGCCCGGTCAACATACTGATGACCCCATTGGGTGACGTACAGCCTCACAGTTGCATTTCCTCGCACGCTTTTCTCTGTCCCATAAAATGACGACACTTCCACAACCAAATCTTCTTCCGTGGACAGGATAAAGGGCGGCATTGAAACATAAACTTCGTGTTGGGAAGGAAAGTACCTGTAAAAAGTATTTCAATTACAATGCATTTCTTCACCTCTAGGAATCCAGGGGTTGCCACGAAATATCTCGAAGAGAAGTTTCAGAAAAAGAAGGGGAAAAAAGATACTTAAATTGATTAAATTTTCATTAATAAATACAGAGCTAACTGAACATGATAAATAATCGAATGGCACAGTCAGTTTTCTCATTCTTTGCCATGCATATCCCTTAGGATTAGTATGATAACCTACAATTAGACTATTTCCGACAAAGCTTTTATTCAGACGGCGTCCTTCACACTTAGAAAATCTTTGCGAGGAACCCGAAGTAATGTTTCAAGTCATACTAAAAAAAGTTGGCAATGGCTTATTTAGAGTAAAAGCAGTAACTCAAAAACTAGTAATCACAAATTTACACTTTGTCTTAAGTAAGCACATCTCATACCCCAAAAATAGTACTTTTTCTAGCTTTACTACCCTGTGCCAAGTAAGGCATGCCATATATTTAGTACGCTTTACTAAATAGCAAGTATTGGCTAAAGCGCCTGTCTTAAAAAGCGGGCGTCAGTTGGCAAGTCAATCGTGCATTGTTTGGCGAGCGGGTCTCACTCGGCAACAATTAATTAAATTGGTCCGTGTCAAAAGAAATATTTAGTGCAAATTAATATTAATTAGTTGTGAAAAATAGGTGTTAACAAGGTAAGTTGCAAAATAACTAATTATTTGAGGTATAATCTATGCTGTCTAATAATGCACGGATTAATTTTTTGTATGACCGATAAAACGCCGCCGTATGTCAATCATTGGACCTTTATTCCTCATGGAGTGGCTGGAAACAGGAATTTTTCACAAGTTCCTCTATTTGCGAACTCAATAATCGGACAAATACCTATTGATAATTTATTTAATTTTGTGAGTTTAAAGTTTAAAATCTATTTGTTCACTTTAAATAAAGGAAGTTATGGAACCCAAATGTGTATGAATTTTACTTTATTTAAAGGTATCTCATACTATATTCGTAGTATAGGGAACTTGCCACTAACTTAATATGAAGTAACATGGCACTTGATACGAAGTAAACGCCTCAAACACTATAATCTAAGTTTGTCGAGTTTACTTGATTTTGGGCATCCCCTAGCAAGGGAATGCACTTGAAATAAAGTAAAACTGGTTACCCTTCTCCAAAATTGTCTGTGTAACTTTGTATAGCATGCGTGCGATTTTTACCCCAAATAAAGGTATATTTTACACGGAATCAAGTAAAGATTTCTAAGAGTGTTTGGCTTTGATTCGATACGAAAGACAGTACATGCAAAGTCTCTTCTACTCGTGCCAGAGCTTTCTTATCCTTAGTTTCTGACAGGTCCAAGGATGGTCAAGACCAGAAAGGTTTTGTACTCTTAAACTTGCTTACCTCTCCAAAAGTATTCGTTTCTCCTGAACTTGAGACGCAGCTACGACACGGATTGTCCAGTGACCGAGCGAAGTGAAAGTTGGCAATTCGTACTCCAAGTCGATCACACCTGAAAAAAACGCAATCAAGGGTTTGCTGTGTGTCTCCTAACAATGTGTAGATCTACGTATGCACATAGTCATTTATACCTAAATATGATGGGACCGAAGGCCATCTTCGCATAATGAAACCTCTTGGATCCTGTCTCAGATATGATGTTATGTCAGTAAATACTTTATGCTAGGTTTTTCTATTAATCAGCTCACCAAAATATACACATCGATCGGGTCGTCATATGGAATCATATTTCTACGAAGGGAGATGACACGGAATAAAACTGCAAACGAAATGTCAAAGTCCCGAGTTAAATATTTATACGTATGCAACAAATAAAATAATTCATATGTGCATAAAATACATAACATAAAATAATTTCCCAGAAAACAAACTACAAAAAATTGAACAAAACCCACAACAGTCAGAAATCGAATCATTAAAACTGACTCAGCTCACGTAATCGGTAGAACATGTATTAGTGTTGACAGTTGCAAACTTAAACAACTCGACCAGACTTTAACCTGTGCATATATTGTAAGAATTAAGTACGTAAGTATCATCAACTCACTTTTCTGACCACCATTATAAATGTGTCGATTAGTTTGGATCAGGATGGACAGAAACTTTTCTGAAAACTTGAGACGAGTTTCGGATGCAAATATTGAACCCCCACGACCTTCTCCGACGTCTCCTTCGATACGAATTTTATACTCTCCTCGAGGCAGTTGAGTTGGCACCTTTCATAATTTAATCACATTATCATTACTCACATATGTATAATACAATTTAATTGGAAGCTACTATTTTTACACTCGATGAATTACTTGAATTTTGAGAACATCCGAAGTCCCCTGAAACCAATAAACCCCTCAAATTATAGAGCTTGCGGATTTTTCCCATGACCGACCACGTGTCTACACAGAACCTACCGGCTGAATGTGAATAGTCGATGCTTGAATATCGGCCCCATTTTTAAAAAGGGCCAGTCGAAAATGGACCCCTCTCGAAATGGTCTTATCGTCAAGCAAATTTCCCAATCTTGGGCTGTCTTCGATACTCGATACCCACACCACGGCCGAGTAAATGGAGGCTGGTTGAATGATGGAGGGTGCAATCACTATAAATCCTCTATGTAATCAAAGTTTAATGAGCAAAGCTTTTTTACGTGTTTGTATTTCTGTTGGCAATGTGGAATTGTGATTCGTATTGCTAATTGTCAACTTTTATCCTGTCAAAGATTTACTACATCGTTAAAATTTATAGCACGAAACTCAATTTATGGATGCTTAATTATAATTCTGTGATCTTGCCGAAAGAAAAATCTTGTAAGTATTAAACTTATACAACAGAAGTAGGACTATCCAACCATCCATCACTAAATCACTAAGCAAGCCGGTTTTGGGCTTTAGTCAGATGTAATTTTACGGATAACAATGATGCGAACTTGCACCAAAAGAAACACTAATTTTCAGGTGAGTTCAAGTTTGAAAGGATTATGTCTTGATGCAAACTATTTATTAGCATTCATGTATGAATAAGAACTTGGAAATATTCAAAAAATGTTTTTAAAAAAATCATTGAAAATCTGGATTATGCAACTTACAAAGGATTATGAATTGTGTGATTTGACCAGAGTTTTGGGCCAAACAGCTCCAATCTCTGATAATGTGTGACGTTGTCCTTCTCGACCACTTGCTGCAGAAACTCATCCAATCTAATCCCACTTTCATTCGCATATCTGGGATCATTGATTCCATTGTTTCTATCCTTTGTTTGATCCAAATAATTGAAAAAGTCCTTGTTTCTCACACTTTTAAAATCACCAAATGTGTCGCTGTCTAGTATATTTTCCTCGTCAGCCCCACTAATACCGATGGATGAAGGAGTGGTAGTAAATCGGATCGCATCTTGTGCCCGAACTTGTATCACATTCAGATACAAAAATAACAACACACATTTCATCACAAATTCACTACAACTTATTTTAAATTTACAACATTGTATTCTCCTTTGGCATGATAAAACACAAGTCGATTCATAATAGTGCAGTTTTGGCAAGTAGAAAAGTAGTTCCGGTAACATTTTCAGAGTTTCAAGTTCAATCTCTGTTTTACTAAAAATGCGCTCCAATTATTTAACACCGACATACTTTGCGATTAATCCATACTCACTTTCTCTTGTTCATACATGTATTTTATACATTCGCAACAGGACTATACATTAGTCTTGCATTGTTTAGAAGTATACGTATATTTTAACATGGTGCATGCTTGCCTATTCGTGTTCATAAAAGCTAAACGCAGAACTCGGATCGATTCTAGTCAATTTCCAGATATCGATTCATTTCCATTTTACTCACATCCTTCGGCGTCAATAGCACTAAAAAAGTTTCATTAGCAGTTGGCTCAGTTTAGATTATTATCGTTACTTGTATGAAAATGTCTTCGCTGCATGATGAGACTTTAAGAATTCATCTCACACGGGACACAACAACAACTTATAAACACACGACAGGTATATTATTTTATTTATAGTAAAAAATGTTTAAAAATAGACGATTTGAGCCATTTTTAGACTTGAATATCTGGCTGGCAAAAAAATTTGTGCTAGACAATCGCAACTCGTATATCTATTGTCGTGCATGCAATAAAATCGCGTGGTCTGAATACAGTGACTGTCAAATCTCGTATGTCATAATCCCACACTCTCTCGATCCCCCTTCCCATTGTCTGCACACTTTTCTTACTGCAAGTAAAATCACATCTTAATCATATGCACAATTCTTAAAGGTTAATGAAACAAGTGTAGTCCAGCCAGAGAGTTATGAACAAGGTTGTGAGCTCATGGCAGCAAAGTCTTTAGTCATGACAATGCATGGAATGGTTGGATGGACGAATCTTCTTCTTTCGCTGGGGTCCAGGCCGGTTTGTTGAGTTAGGACAATCGCATTTTTTGTTGCCTTGTCTGGAGTAGCAAGGAGACATGCAGTAAGGAGACATGCAAAGCAAAAATTACTGCCAAGTTTCTCAATCTTTACGTTACTTTACACAATAAGAATCTAAGATTCTGGTAGCAAGTAACAATTATTGATCTTGCCCCATTCCAGTGAGGAATTTGGCTTGAAGGATCGTGTATTGCACAGTTGTAATGAATGACGATTGATAAATATGTATCGACAAACACAAGCACTCGAAGATGGCCTAATAATTGAATTCTTTGAACTCGTAGCCAATTAGACGAAACAGGACTTAAGACATTGTGCTACCAGATAGGAGAGATGATTTTCTGACCGGTACCGGTCCTGTCCTTCTGCGAACTATGGAATACGAACTGTGTAAACTGGATTGTGTTCATGAGAGGAATCACTTTACGCTTTTGGAAATTGCAGGTTGCAACTGCAGAAAAAAGTACAAACTACCCCAAACCCGTAGCAGTACTGTAGCAAAATTAAAGTGCTACAGTACCCACAGACGTACGACCGCTTTGCGTTCTTGTTGTAAATATCTATGTAAACTGTGAAGCAGTAGCAGAGAACTCTTCTCAATGGATGATAGAACTCTCTGTCGCCGGTTTGCGTGCGTGTTACAACAACTTCTATCCATGAAAACCAAGTTTAATGCAGTATTGCTTTACCTGCCAGGAGTTTATGTACAGAAGCAGTGCTTTGAAGTGAATCAGAGGAGGTTAAAGTAAAAACGTAATGGTTATTGAAACCCAGCACATGCTGAATGTATACAGAGGACGAGTTGAATCCCAAAAATAATTACTCCTTGTCTGATGTATTTCCTCAGCATACTGTTTATGTCCACCCAAAGCCATGCTCGTGGCATGAGATTTTCTCATTTTATAAGAAAAAATGATTGACAGGGGGCGAGATCTAAATTTTGTCGGATCTACTTTCATTAATTCATGAGCATGAATTTCCAAGTTGTTTTACACACACACACCAAGTACGAGAAAAAATCATCGAAATAGTTATTGATTTGTAGCCCCGAGATTGTATTTTTTCCTGAAAAATCAACTTGTTATGTGTTTACAAGGGGAACATGTTTATGTAGATAATTGAATTTGTATGTATTTTTTTGCAATTCACTCCTGTTTGGCGATGAACATGCCAAACGCCATGATTTTAATGAATGAGAGAATAAATAATAAGCTGCACAAGCCCATGTAGTGGACATAATATGCCGAAAAAGAATGAGTCGCATAGTTGCTCGTTACACAAAGCGAGTGACAGGATGACATCCATTGTTGCTGAGTTTCATGGTGTATGTAGTGTGGTCTCCATTAATTTGGGTGATGCCGATGCGGTTAAGCATTATTGTCGACTCTTTCCCTTGTCTGAGTTGAACTTTGGTAATTTTTTGAACTCGCAGGTTCAACCCAAACCCAGTGTCTACACATTATGTGCATAGATAGATGCATACACCAGACAATTTTATGCAGGCGAACAAATAAATGATTTTGGCAGCATTTGTATTCCAACAACTATCAACTTAAAACAGTTCACGCAATGTGATGGCGAAAAAATAATTTATCTAATTTATCACTACTCGTTTGAATGAGATCATGGAATTATTTATTCCTGAATGACCAACAACGAACGTTAATTAATAGGTACATCACATTTTAAAATCCTTACAGAGTGATATTTTTTACGATTTCTTACATAGCTACATTCTATAATCTGCTACACTTTTTTTGTATATTACATGGTTTATGAGTGTCATTCAATTTTGTATCAACTACAGAATATTTCTTTCGTTTTGTTATCTCAAAAAATATCGACCAACTGAACCAATAAAAGTAGTATTAATCTACAAAATTAGACACTCATATCTTTGCATAATGCCTTAAATGTACATATAAACTTTCACAATAGTCATGCATAATGTTAAAAAAATTGCAAGCACCAAGAAATTTAATACACGACTTGGAGAAATTGACTGAAAATTAAAAGGGGTCCGACAATGACCCAATATGCATGCAGTATGTAGACTATTAAATCTCAATCACAATAACGGAAAAAGGTCAGCAGACGAGGTTCATCAGTTTGGGGTTGCCACACAAAATCGACTAGTTAGTTATCTCACTATAAATTTCCACAAACCACCCAAGAAGAGGGAATAGCTAAACACTATTAAATATTACACTCTACACGCCGTAACGATTTTCAGATCCGTCGGCCAACAACAGGCTAACATTGCGCGATCCGGTCCACACCAGTTTTGGAGATCTGATAGTGTTCTTGAGATTATCTGGCAGGGGAACAGTACTTATAGTCTTAACGCAACGGGTTTGAGTATGACTGTAATTTGAAGAACAGTGATGTAAATTGTTTATTTCTTATTAAGAGGTATTAAACTAAATAGTAAAAATAGCGAACGTACCCAAGGCCAAACATCCCAGAGCTCGTCTAAAAAATTAATTATACATTTAATTATTATATCCGGTTGAAAAAATACATAGCTTTTAAATTCTAAGTTTTAAATTAGAATAGTTAACTAACCTGCCAAAATGACATCTTATTCTCCGTACAGGTATAGCTTGCCAAAAATTTCCCGTCAGGTGAGAAAGCACACGCAGTTATAGGACTATTATGTGCTGTAATGCTTTGACATTTAGAGCTACGCAATTCATAAATAGCCAAATTCCCTTGTTTACTCCCAACGGAAATTCTTCGTGTCGTAGGACAGTGACTGACTTGGGAAAATCTGCAGAGAACAGGAAACACATCCGAGAGCCCCCTAGTCTTTAGGTGGCCATGATCCACGCAATGCAAGACAATGTCCATCACCTCCACGATCAAGTCAGAGATTTCGGATTGCATTTTCTCAATTAAAAGTTCAATAACTCTGAGAATTTCGGGCTTAGATCGATTCAGTATAATGTTGTTTAGATTTATTTGGATGGCTTGAGCATTCTGTTGGAGTGTATTGTACCGAGCCACCTCCTGTTGCAAATACAATTAATTATTTAAATATTTAAGGTGGTTAGATGAGTCCATGGAATTATATAATACACAGCTCGAGATCTAACCTTTGCCATAGTGGTTATGAACGCAGCGGGTCGAGCAGTAGCAATCAATGTAAGAGCATGCCTCGCTGTTCGGCAAGCGTCGGCTTGAGGGGTAAGCGGTAATCCAAATGACATGCTGAAAAATTTATGAAGAAAGGTGTTCATGACTGTCAACGATATCGATAAGTGATAATGAAACTCACCTTGGAACAAGATTATCCGCCTCACAGCACAACTCCAATAGAGCAAGTAAAACCTTTGACCCTTCCAAAAAGGGTTCCCAGACTGTAAATCCTCTTCCGATTAAATCGATAGCAGCTCTTCGAAGAGATGAATAAGGCCCAGCTGTCGTCAATCCAGATTTTTGAGACTGCTGATTCAGTTGAGGATTAAGGAGGAGGTGGGTCAATGCTTTGCCTGAAATTATTTTATGCAAGTCAAAGTAAAATTAATTAAGTAAACAAAAGTATTAAGGAACATTATGTGCTATAGACTATAGCTATAGTGTGAGTAATTATTAAATACAACATTAATTTTTGTATCAAATACTTGTCAATCTGGCGAGATCGCTGTTTCCTACACCAAAGCCTTCAACACCTTTATTTCTCCCAACGTCAACTGTCCTAGCGGTATTCTGTAATATTCAATCATAGTGTAAGTTTGCATAAAAACGATAGGCATTATTCAGCACATCACCTCTATGACAGTGCATGCAGGCAACACTTTAAAAAATAATTATTGCTTCAATAATTAACCGGATTTTTCATATTTACCAGATCTATCAAGCTAAGTCCAAATTCTGCTCCAATTACACCCAGAAGAATGATGGCTGTTGTTTGTTTCCTCTTAAATTCAGAAGGCGAGGGTCGTAAACTTGGTTCTTCAACGTCTTCATCAAAATCTTGATCAGATCCTGGACCACCTGGGCCAGTGACAGACAAGTTATCTTCTGCGGCATCACCCTGGCTCGACGGTGTTGTAACCGGTGTAGTACCTAAGTGAAAAAATGTGTATACAATCACACGATCAAGTATGATGCGCGAATACGTGATTGGTAAGGTTGCATATACCAGTGCCGGGGTTCTGTGTAGTAGAAATTATTCCAGTATTTGCGGTTGAGGGGTTTACGAAAGGACCAATTTGCAAATTAGGTAAAAATGGTGCCCAAGTCTCCACCAGTTTCTTTCGTCCGTCAACTCCAATCCTTAACATTTAAGATATGTGAAAAACATACTCATACCATCCAATAAATCCCCAGTGTGCCATACATACGTTTGAATGTATGTTTCTTTTACATACTAGCTTAATGGCCAGGCGAAAGTGAAATATACACTAACCTTGATAACTCTGCCAGAAGCAGTGCTTGTGCAGCATCCCGAATTTCGACACAGCGGTCTTGCCATCTGATCGCTAAAGTTTCTACTAAAGGTTCCTTAAAATCTCCGAGAGTTTTCAATTTTTCATGGAGCATGCAACAGTGCAAAGTTGCGACGAGTGACCACCCTAGGATTAAAATTAAATTGCAGTTTTAGAAATATTTTAATTAATTTTTTCAGCAATGTTGCTTGACTGTATCGTAATGTACCGTAATGTAATAAAAACTATTATGTTTCAACTTACCGTGCTTCGATGCTGCTTGTTGACTCACCTAAACATACACAATATTACTGATAATCCAAGTGGTTACGGAAAATACGAGTTAGATAATCAAATATCATTGATTGCAACCCAGAGACAAAATGAAAAGAATATATGATAAACTGAAATTTAACTTACATACGAGTCTTCCTGTTGATTTTGTGGATTTTTTGTGGATGGGCTAAACAAACAAAGGTTGAAAGTTGTTGAACATGAGAGACAAGATCTCAATAATTATAATAATTTTTTTCTTCTCACCGATTCGCTCGGCGCACTCGTTCTTGCTCAGGAACAAACGTTGCATTTTGCATCGACATTAAAGTGTTTGCTAAAGCCACAATTGACAACAAATGGTTGGTCGACTGTAAAATAAACATGCTTGATAAACTGAGGAATTTAGAACAAGTCGATAATTACTGCAATTATTTTGCAAAATTGAACAACATCTGGCATCTAAATTTCAGTTAGTGGACAAATACTAGGTCAAAATTATTCTACGAATTATTTCCAGTGATATTTGACCAAATTTGGACGATTTAGACCAAACAATTATCAAAAAATTTACACATATTGGCTTGTATCGAAAACTGCTGGAGAGCCCTCAATATGATGACGGATTCTTGATGTACACAGAATTATACACATTTTAGGCTATCCTACGTGAAAATCGTTGGAGCCAGAGAAAAACTCTATTTCATTGTATACGTGTATATGAATAAAATTGCAATTAAACAAAAAAAGTCATTCGAACCATTGAGTTTGAGATTTCCCAATGAGTTCTGCTAGTGAACCATTTGACACGTTGGGACAAGGTAGAGGTGATTTTTAAGACGTCTTCCAATTTCGTTTTTGTTGCAGGTTTCCAAGTGGGCGACATTAAGGACATGTAGCCTCTAGAAATCTGACCAAACGAGATGGGCACGAGTGGCTTGAGGAGGCCTAATCTTGCTTCAGAAATGCCATCCAACTCAACATCCAGACCCCACCCAAGAAGCAGCGACAAAAGCAGTTGGGCAATTTCCATTGGAATAGTGGATTCGAAAAGAAGACTTCTATTTCTTCGCGGACCGGAAGATGTGGACGATATTTCGCACCCAATTAAACTTGCACTGGAATCTGGACCAGAAATTACAGAGATGTTACAAAAATAAATAAATATAAATATCAGAACTGACAAAAGAAATGCACATATGTCACACAAATAGATTATCACTAACTTTTGCGACTGGCGTTCAATTCTTTTTCTTGTTTGATCAGCAATGCTGATTCTGCTTTTGCTTGAATTTTTTCTGCGCCCTCTTTAACCTTTGATAATAATCCTGCATTGGACCAGAAACAACCACACATTAAAAAACATCACTGAGATGAGTTCAGATTTTATGAATATATGTAAAGTTTGACATTATTTTTATTGTTTATTTACCATGCTTGTCTTTGTCTTTTAATATCCGTTCCATATCACCAGCTCGATCTTTCACCTTCCCGAAAAAATCTGAGAAATAAATAACAAATTAATGAGTTTTCAACTAATAATATATTCACATCTATCGAGTTAAATATTATTTAACTTATGATATTACCTGCGATTTTCTGCTGAGCGTCCGGACTTGCAGAGTGGGTAAGTGCCAAGATTTTACAAAATTCAGTTTGACTAATAAGACCTTGGGCTTCTAGTGACGCTGGAGAAACGGCGCCATATTCTTCAGCAAGAAGTTGGACAATCAAAGCTTCAATGTCAAAAAATAACACGTGCGCCTCCGGATCGTTTTCATTTGTCCTGAGACCCTGAATCATCAAGGGAGGAAGACGTTGACGACCATGATCTAAAGGATCAAGTGGACCTTGTTGGCCTGCTCCATGAAGTTGGTGTAGTCCCCTCTGAGCCATACAAATTACATAATGTTTATTTTGGTGGCAATATAGCAATAAACCATACTAAAAACTTACTTGCGCAGCATGGCGAATTGCTGCTAAATTCCTAGATTTCAGTCCTCTAAAGAAATGCACAGCTGGGTTTGCTGCTCATTCCATACAGAAAAAAATTATATATCAACGTTTACGCACACGAGTTTCACTGATGTGATGTTTTATCAACATGGTACTTGTATGACTTGATAATTAAATAAAGAAATCTAACCTAGTCCTGTGTCTTGAACAGCCAAAATATTCCCGTTTTCATCACAAGCTTGGAGCACATCTTCAGCAGCCATTCCATACAGAACTCGATCCAAATGACCAGTTTCCATCTGCCAGACGTGCACAGTTCCATCAGAACATCCAATGATTAGAAAATCGTCCAATGGTCTCCATTTAATTGATATAATAGGAAATAAATGTCGAGACGCGAGGAGAATTGCTTTTTTCTCTCGTAGAGAAAGTAGGGCGGCGGAATGGTCACCAGAAACACTGCATACGGTCTGTAGGACTCTCGGCTAAAGATAAATTTAAAAGTTAATAATATGTATATGTTAAAACAGTTACATGAAAAAGTATCAGGAGATAAAAAGTATGTGTACTCACACTGCACTCATTTGGAGGGACCAAGATTTGTGTAATTTCCCCCGCCTATTAAAAATCAATTCAAATTTCAGGTGTTGATGCTGATAGTCATTCTAAATTTCACTCGAGCCCATGACATTTTTGCCATTGTTTTTTTAGATCAATTACTAATTGGCTCTTCCCAAAATCCTCACCTGTACACAAAATCGGTGAAGAAGGTCGCATTTCACAATATCCCATAAAATGACTGAAAAGTCACGACCACCGGAAACCAGATAAGCTGGATCATATCTGGGATGTACACCATGTGGATAAACTAGACAGTTTACTTTTCCTTTATGACCCAAGAGAATTTGGTGCATTGGCCATTCTAAGACATAAAAGAAATTATAGATATGTATACTCATAAGACTTTGGTTAACGTTTAATGTTAGTGTAAATATGCTTATAAATTCCAACCTTCATATTGTTGATGCTTTCCATGTAACAAGTGTAGCATAACTGCTTGGGTCGCAGGAACAACAACAATGCTCCCATCTTCGCGGCCACACACAAGCCGGCATTGTTGTGCCAAATATATGGAACATGTCAACAAAGGTCCTCGGCATTCTTCCGTGTCCTATGACCAGACCAACAACGTTGTAAGAGAAAGAATTTTGCTTTTGCACGTTGTTCTTAAACGGACAAAATTAATCGACTTACAAATTGATCGAGAATTCCAGGAGGTGATGGTTTTAGGTTATCCCATGCTTGCTGAAGACTAGAAACAGACTTTGGTGGCATCTCTACATCGTATAAGGTATGCTCGATTAGATAATCAATTTAGTATAACAAACAACACTTATGCACATAAACATAGGTGCATTAAGAATAATTAACAACCTGGAGGATGGAAAGCTGCATGCAACATCTTTTGTGCCTCTTCACTAGCATTTTCATCTCCAACAGCCATTTGTTTTAATTGCATGATTTGAGAATTTGTCACTTGAGGAATGTTCCAAATTGTAAGTTTCGAATCGCAATCGCCCCTTAGTAAAATTGATTTGGAACCCTTTAATTGGGGGTTATCTGTCGATGGAGGCTGTAGTACCAAGTACTGTGGTGCAGAAACCAAAAACTTTGTATTCGGAACACACAAAATGCAGTAGTTGAATGCTTCTTCCTTGTAACCCATGCGATGAAAGTCCTTGTGGTCCACAATACAACTGAAAATGACACAATGCCAAATAAATTATAAATCTTATATTGACATATTCAAAACTGCATAAGGGAAGCATTTTACTAACTTGTTTGGAAGCTTAAATAAGTATGATTTTCCGGAAGATCCAAAAATTATAACTCTTTCAGGAGAAATGAATTGACCTCCAACCCACTTTTCTTGCCTTACACGGGGTTGGTAACTGGTTAACACTGAAAAATCACCCGCATCGTACACCTAAACTCAAACAATTAAAATTATAGCACTTTAATTTAAAAGTATTAGTATTTTAAGTTGCCAAAATATTTTAATTAATGTAAGCTCACCTCCCAAGCTCTGTCCGACACAATTAAAACTGTCCGATTATTATACAAACAGCAGACTAGAGTTGATACATTTTTAGTTTTGATTTGTTTTGACTCATTTTCATGGAGAGGGGCTCTCTCTCGGTACTCTTGGTCATTTATTGTCCACACTTTGACCGTTCCACTAATAGTCGTCGCCAAAATTACATCATCTAATATGGAAAAACGGATTAACCCAAAAATTTTCAGCCCACCTTCTACAAAATATGAAATTAAATCAATTGGATGTGTACCTAATTTCTTATTAGGCCTAAGGACATGCAATGCCGAAATCCAGTCAGGATTTACATGTGAACAAAGTGAGATAATAGTTTCAAGGGTGACTGGATCTACAATTTGTACATCAGGATAGTATCCCGTGCAGAATAATTTCGGATCTTGAGGGCAGAATGCTAAGTGGTACGGCTGTAAAAAAGAAATCATCGGCAAATGATTCTTAAAGGCAGCACTGTCAATCATCAACTAAATACATATTAATTTATCTATATACCAGCAGTCGGCTATGGGAATTAGCACATTTGTTTGATTCCAAACACCTCCCATCGCCAGCATCCCAATTACACAGCTCACTACAAAAATAAACATAAGACAATCGCATTTTCAAATATTTAATAAGTCAATCATAGCATTCATATGTCATCACTGTACCTATTATCACTCGAGCTGACGACGAGATCAACAGATCCAGACCCCATTGGAATGTACGCAATGGAAAGTATCGTTCCTGAATGACCAATGAGAAAACATCGCGGAGTGATCTAATACAACCAAAAGCAATTTACAACATGAAACTAATAAAATATTGTGCTTTGCTAAAGCTATTCATCACTCTGTCTGCAAATAAGTTTACCTCCCAACATGGCTGATTACACATAGGTCCGCCACCTTCCCCACTAAACAGCTGTGCCCCTCCCTGTGCCATCATTTCATTCGTGACGTTGGTAATGTTGTTGAGGTCATCATCAAGTTCCATGGGGGAAGGGACGTCAGAGTGACGATGGGGCCCAGTTTGTTGCCGAATGTCCCAAATGATGATCTGACCGTCTTGACATCCCGTCACAATGGAGGAAAAGTCAGGTGCCACGGTCATGGCGGTGATGGAATGGGTGGGAGCATCCTTGCCCCAAAGAACAATGGGAATTACCAGACTGCTACTTTGCGACATCGTAGCACAACAGATTATCCCTCCTTTTTATGTCCAAATTGATGTTTAAGGAAGCAGTCAGGCCAATAGAATACCGATGGATTCTCTTTGGAAATAATTGGAAATAATTATTGTATAGTGACCATTTTAAATGCACAATGTATGACGTGTAGACTAAAGCCCTGTTTCATCCCCCTGAAGAAGACAAAAGCGAATTGTCGAGATATTGGAAATATAAATTTATTTTCAAATAAGACAAACTTTGACTTTTAGGAGCTCGGTGGTTTGTTTTGATGATCTGAATGTAAAATTCAAGGTTTCCGCGTTGGGTGTTTCCATTTGACGATTGTGCCATATTATGCTATTCGAACATGTGCATGCAAAATTTGCATGCAAAAACTTGCAGACTTTCACGAAATTTTACTTTTATAACACCTCCTTAATTACATGATGTACACCTATTTTTTGCCTAAATCCATAAGATTACGGCAATAATCATATACAATTGTATTATATATATGAATACTGAAGTTAACGCATTTTACCTACCTGCAACAGTCAAATTCGGCATCTTGTATTATGAACTTGGAGGTAAAGAATTTATCTTGAATTATATTTGGAACTGTTACTTATTTCAGCAGGTGTAATATATGTATGGCTAAATAATACTGTATGAGCTATATGACACTGGATAAAAGTTCAATTACATTCACACGTAAGTAAAATTTGCATACACCTTTATTTTAACGTTGCATCGCTATCTATAGTAATTCAGTAATTCGTGGTAAGAAATAGGTGGGTAGATAGTAGGTAACAAGTAAGTGAATTTATATTATATAAGTCTATGAAGTGAACAAAATAAAAAGATTAACTAATTTACTTTTTGGCTTTATATTTTTGAACTACAATATTGAGGGTCCAGTAGATAACGATCCAAATACTGACGGAAATAAAACCTGGATACACCGAAGGGTGGGAATAACCCACCCCACGAGTGAAGACAGATCGCAACGCCTCCCCCGCAAATGTACAAGGAAGAATTCTACTCAAGTACTGTAAATAAATAGGCATTCCTTCCAAAGGCCACAAAAGTCCTGCAAGAATTAACATGAAACAAAATGGCGAATTATGTATATTAATTTTTATAAATGACATATGGTCGATACCTGATACATTAGCATACCTGATAGCAACATATTTGGTAGAAATGTCCCAAGAGCAACAAGCACAGCTTCTAGTTCGTTATTAAGAAATACAGCCAAAAGAAATCCTAAACACAATTAAACAGAAAATTAGCAAGATCTCGGCGAGACAATTGCAATGAGATTTTTGAAAAAAGCTACATATACCCATCGACATTCCAGCCACACCAACCATCTAAGATTTAAATAAATATAAGAATTAGGTCGCACAAGAAATATTAAGAAACACAAAGAGCAAACGTATTTATGAGTGTGACTGACTGACCACGGCGAGAATGTAGGCGCAGTGGACAGGACCCATGACCTTCACCTGAAACGCCCATTCCAAGATGACCAGCGACAGGGCGACCTGGATGCAGAGGAGAACGACTTGGACAACGAGATATGCGCTCATGATCTCAAACGTCGTAACTCCAGCGACCATACTCCGGGACAATGTCCCAATCTTTTTCTCCGATATGTACGCGATACCACTTCCACTCAGGGGAAAGAAGAATAGAATCCTGTAAAAGTGATCAGCAAAATTAACATGCAAATTAATAAATTCAGCTTTACTTCAACAAATTTTGCCTTGGTTTGGTACACAGATTTGACTTACGCCAAGAGAATGCTCGGAGCTAGAAAATCGGTGAAATTTACATTATCTTCCCCAAAGATTGACTGTCCAAACTGAAAGTAGAAATTCATGATTTATCAAGTGGTAAGAATTATCATACAAATTACTCAGAAATATTTATAGTTCTTACATAAATTGGAGGTTCCGTCGCAATTGGATCAATTCCACAATCTTCACTCACCGATTTCATATACTCTTTGAAACTCTCCAGAAACACTTTACCCGTTTCTCGGAAGATTTGCAAATCTAAATGCACAACAAAGTTTTAAGAAAATACCAAATAGTTTTAATACATTTTTTTATATTACTCGATTGGTCCAAGCGAAACTTTATTCTTGAGCTGGTTTACACAACATAAAACAAAAACCTTATCAAACTGCTTAGTATTTTTATTTGCCCTGCAAAATGGTTTACTTTATGTATGTACCCATAGATAGATTCTGGCTCGGTCTGTGTTCCAAACAGGGCACGATCTTTCATCGATTGCGTATAATTATCATGAAATAATAAATATCCCCATGTCTTAGCATCTCCTACATCTCTTATGGCATCTTCTTCATTATCGTATGTTTTCTGCAAGCATATCAAATGATAATACAGATAATATGGTAAATGGAAACTGAAATTTAAACTGACACTGCAGCTAGCTAATTAAACATGTAAGTGTAATGTGTACCAATTTTAGGGTTCCTTTCTGGTCCAAAATGTGAAGAAATCTACAACTTAGACTTCCTGTATAATTATCATTCACAACACATCCCGGAACAACGGTACATGCATTTCGAGCATCGTGATTGACGAGGCCAAAGGAAAGTCCTTTGATAAAGTACGAATTACATTAAATTACAAATTACAAATTGCGAATTATTACCTTTAGGGTCTGGCCCTATCGCGATGCACACAATTATGACTTGAAGAGCAGGCATAATGAACATGAACAAAAGAAACGGAATATTTCTTAATAGGGTAACCACGTTCTTCATAATCATGGCTTGTATTCGGTTAGCACTGTGTTTAAATCGGTCGGAGACGCTGTCACCAATTTTTGCATAACCAGCAGAGTTCTGATTTTGCTGGATGAACTGCTTGCGCAACTCTTCAACGGATGGAGAGTTGTTATTTTCCAGGCATAATAGATTTTTGTCAAAACTTGGCCCATTTCCTTCGCCATTTTTATCCCATTTGTTTTCATTTTCCACACTCCCCTTCAGGCAAATGACCTTTTTCAGTTCTACAGACAAGACTTCCTCATCAATTAGTGTCGAAGGAAAGTATGTTTTCGAAGAATTGTCCTCGCAATTCAAGGAACAATTCTGAACTTTGATTGTAGGATTCATCGTCGTATTCTTCACATTATTTTGTTCTTGTTTTCCATTTTTACAGTTTTTGATGTTTTGAGGTGATATCATGGCATTCGGAACGTCTTCCAAGGAAGAAGCGTGGGAAGAAGTAGGCGCTGAGGAGGAATGACCCACTTCGTTGTCATCTCCATCTGCAAGGCAAAGTTTGAGAACGACGTCCTCGAGTAGTCCAATTCTTGGAGAATGCAATTTTATCAAGTTTTCGGGTGAATCCTCGGCCAACAACCGGCCATGACGCATAAGACCAACCTGGAAGTGTTGAGACATATGTATGATAGGTTGTACACATAATTGGTATCATATACTGCTCACAATTTGTATGTATGTATATACAAATACATATTTGGTAAGTGTAAATGTGTACATACATATAATCCACTACACACAAAATATGTAAAGAAGATTCAAGACCCTGACCTGCGTTGATTTTGTTGCCTCTTCTACATAACTGTTATAAAGGTGCAAAAATTAGTTGCTTATTTTATATTGTGCATGTTATTTAAAACAATTACTGTGTGGTTATGATAACTGTAGTATTCCCGCTAGACACAAGCTTGACCAGGTGGGTCCAAATACTATAAGGATTGAAAATCATTATTTGATAACTTTAACATAATTATATTTAAAGAAGAATCCAAAGTTCATAATTGTTGTAATCCATTTATTACAGCCATATTCGCCGTCTAACCATCAGTCCTTGTCGGACGTGTACGCGTAATAATACATTCATGCAGTGGAAGGTGAACAAATTATCAAAAATCTCATTAACAATTGCGCAAAGAACTACTCCAGATTTTACTGGCTTCATCAGGATATGTTCCTCAACTGATCATCTTCCTGATCGACATTAACTATTGTTGCTGTTGTGGGAAAACATTCCGATTATTCATCTAATGGAGCAAGTAAATATGTGTCTAATGACAAGACTCTCAAAAAATAAATGTACGTACTTGTAGTAGAGGTACAATCATTATCATTATGAATCATGATTACTAAGCCCAAAATTTAGTAAATGTCTTTGTCTGAACAAATTGGAAGCCAAAAGAAACCGCAAATGCCAAGGTTTTGCTAGACCTCTTGTCCAAAACAATTTTTTACTTTCTGTGGTATTTTCAAGTATGCATATGTACATGTTGTCTTATTTACGTGAAATGCAAATGGATCTAGTTGGGAGTTAGGATATTTTTGTATACACTTTACCAAAAATGATCTTCTGGGTAAAGTAGATAAATATATAGAAATGTGTTGAAACGTAACTCATTTCTTGATTTATAATTCTACATCGTTTTATGGATCGAATTATTCTACGTACATATATCGTAATAGACCGCATTGGAAAATTCATTAAATCACAATGAATCTATCAAGAAGGAAAACTCATGAGAAATGCTTACTTTTGCCGTAGTAGGGGATCCACTCCAACGGTCTGGAAAATGGAGTAAAAAAAACATTAGTGACATTTCATCACTATGCATTTTTATATGTTAGCGTGGAGTGGAAGAGGAATCCTAATCATCTGAATTCAATCTTGCATTTCATGCATACATAAATTCGTACAATTTCTCATTGCCAGTACATTCAATTCTGCGATGGTCTTTATCAGACACGTATCGGAAGTATTGCAAATAAATAATTTTGATACCGGTTCATCCAAAATCAAGAGTCTAGGCGAGTGGATTAACGCCAAGGAAAATGAAACTATAAATTTAAATTATTTGTTTTAAATTTTATAAAATAATTTAACTTTTATTATGCAATTCAATAAAAGTTACTCGACGTTACCTCGACGCATTTGACCGCCACTGAAAAGACAAGAACGAAACAATGAGGAATACCTTTCATTAAAATTAATTAAAGAAAGGCAGTAGGCAAAAACACCCACACGACAATGACGTGCGATTTACGCAATCTAAATTCATGCAAATTTTTAATCCTAACCTTCTAAAAGTTATTCGTTTTCTCAGCCATTATAACACTGATTGTGAGTAAATAATTATTAAAGTATGTCACGGAGCAATAATCATGTGGGATATTTCATATATAGTCAACTGCCCTCCTGCCATTCGCATACGTGATAAGCAATATAAATACATAGCCATGTGTAGATCTTAATGTAAAGGAACCAGAAACAATCGAAATTGACACCACATGACATCCTCCACTACGTAATTACGGACGAATGCAATTATTTAACCCTATGAGCTCAAAGCAAACGCATATGTATGCGCATGCAAAAAGTGTTGTATAGCTTGGTCATTAAATTGTTTAATTAAATCAGGTTTTACCAACCTTAAGGATCCAACCCGCCTGTGAGGGGGTGGGAGTGCTAGAAAGCCGACCAGAAACTCCATGCTTTCCTTCACCTCTTTCTTTGACATGCCATATAATCTTCCAAAATAGAGAAGAATTTCAGAAATTGTCAGTTCTGGATACAATGCAATTTCTTGAGGCATAAATCCCACGTTGGGACCTGGGACTCCGGCATCTCGGCTCCCTGGTTTATGTCCAAAAATTCGGATTTCCCCTTTGTTCAGATTCCTCACCCCCACGCAGCATGAAAGTAATGTCGTCTTGCCGCATCCTGAGCTGCCCAAGAGACTGTATCTAAATATTGGGATTACACATACTCGAATATAGATTCATACAGCATTATTGGGAAAAATTGTTGCCGGAAACACTTTGAGTTCGAGGGTTTGGTCGCTGAGAATATTTGCATTTCCGCATCAGACTTGAATTGCACTTAGGATCCTTAGATAGGATTAACTGAACGCTACTGAAGTAAACTGAGGATGAGTTTGTTCTTGCTCCTCGTCTCACGTTGACAACTTCATGAGTAAGTCTTGCGTTCGACCATATTACACTATTCTACATGATGTACAAAGTACAAACTATACACACTACAATTAGATATAGTTTTCATGTAATGTTTTGTTTACCTATGTTTTTTAAACGTCTATTGACGTGTAAATATAATACGGCTAATTGTAAAATAATATTCAGATGTAAGCAAATTAAAAGTCATAAAATCGTATATGCGCAGAATGTCGCCAATTCAATAAATCCAATGGATTATGTTAGATACATGATGGTTGCAAAAATAATCTTTCTTGAAGAGAACAAAATAATGATTGATCATTTGTAAATATTGAATAGTAAGTAACGCATGCAGCGAAAGTCAAGGTATTTCCTTATCCCATTCACACATAAATATGTTGCATAATAGGTATACTACTAATTTTGTGATATAGACGGATGACTCTTGAATTTCAGAGTTTTTCATCTACACAAACCTCTGTGAGCAAGAGAATAATGCATTAGTTTGCATGAACTAAATAAATGATGTCAAAAGATTTTAATACGAAATGCCTTAGTAGATGGATAATAATGAAGGGTTTTGCCCTTAATAATGCGTGCTATATGTGTGGTTTTAAACTCTCTTTTGGATTAAATAAATCATGCTAAATATCAAATATCTATATATGAAGCTCTTGGATTACCAGCGTAAAATAATTATTGCAATCTCGGTACCTCTGACGCTCTAAGTTATGAAAACTAAGCCGTCCCGATCAACAAAAGCTATCACTTTTACGCAAAAGTCATACAGTTAAATTGCAGCAACTGATGGCCGGCAAAAATCCGTGAAAAGATACTAGATATTTAACGTAAAATAAACTGTCAATATTGCATAGAATTGACAGTCATATTCATGCAATTTAGCCTCAAGAATATTGCGTAGAAATAACCGTCAAATTAATGCAATTTAGGGCGTAGAATATTGCGCAAAAGAAACGAATAATTTGATGCAAAACTTGCAGTTAAACTCCATGCAATTACTGCAGTCAAATAACACGAATTATTAATTTTTATCAAAATCATTTATTTCATAACAAAAATTATATTGTTACATTATACAAGGGAATGCAAATGTTTTCATCTATTTTATCCGACGGGAGTAACCAACATTTCTTATAAATATCATTAATACCTATTATGGTTACGCTATTTGATAATTTGCTAACTTTAATTATTCCTAAAATTTTACTTTCACACGGACAAGTGAACAAGTTGTCCGAGTGTTTGAATTTTCTACAATTTATATGTTTTTTATCTTTACTTATACTACTTATAACAACTACTTTCCCATCCTTTAATATAAAACAATGATCCTTTCCGTTCGATTTTATAATACAGTGTCTATTTAAATTCACAGGGGACTGGTACTTATGATTTTCTCTCTCAGCAGTGCGATTCACAGTTTGCTCAAAAGGTTTATAGTGAGCTCGTAGCGAGCGCTTTATTACTTGCATATTATTTTCGAAATCGAAAGCACTAAACGAATCTAACGGGCCATGCTTTAAAGCGTCATCACTAATATGTATAAGAGAATGCATATTATATGATAAGAACTCTTCTTCATATAAATTGGGAACATTTTTAACAAACTTCAATAAAAGCTGTCGTGCATAATCGTTCCAATTATTTGCTTGCGCCTTGGTAGTTATAAGAATCGTGACTGCTACGCAAAGATTTAAAAAATGTGTATACTTTTTCGGCGACAATAATCCTTTTAAAGCGACGGGTCCTGTATAAAGAAGAAAAGTTCTAAACTCTGTCGCTTTCCACATATCTAACTCTTTTACTGACCTCGGCTTACGACAAAATTCTTTAGGGTAACTATGCGAAAATAATACTAATTTACTTGATAAAGTTGAAATATCACGAGAAGATAATTTAAATGGCAATGGACCTTTTACCCAACTTCTTAATAGTTTTCTAACCACACCTAAGCAAATGAGGTGCATGTAGTCAAGAGGAACCGAAGAAATCATCAAAATTTTAAGCTCCGTAAACGGGGAAATGCCTACATGGTGGTGTTTATCTTTTTGAACATAAAAATCTTGATCTGTCCTAAGTGGACTATCGAATGTTCTGAAAATTACACGTCCCTTCCAGAAACCTGGATCTATACATTTCTCGCATCCATTGTATGCATTATGACTTTTACATTGCTTTAAAAAACTCCTGGCTGGCGCATCAGCTATTATTTTTGAAACCTTACAAAATATTTTCAAATTATTGTAACTAATCCCAACTCGCAAACTTTTTAACTCTGCTATCAAATCCATCAAGTATTCGTCAATACTTTCTGGTTTTGTCTTGACATAAAATAAACCCACGACAAATACGCCGTACGTACTTTCTTCACACTTTGCTTGAATTGGCCAAAACTGGTTACTGTTACTCTTAGAAATGGGCAATCCATCAAAACTAAATATAAGGTTTAATTTAATTTCGCTACCAGAAGCAAGAATACAATTGGAATCTATTTGCCGTTTTATATTTTGAATAACATCAAAGTGTGCATATTGACCCTGACCGATAGTTTTCATAGAGTATTTAATTGAGTTTTTAAGCAATGTCCTACCATCCAATGGAAGAAATCTAAATTCTTGATAAAAGTTAAATATGCGTAGAAGATCGTTTAAAGCTACTCCCGTTATGTTATGTCGAAGCGACCAGTCCCTCAAGTCCCGTGTTAAATCTAAAATATTCCTATTATTTTCTACTACACCATTGTCGCTTAGTGAATCGGAAACTAATGGCTCGTCACTATTATGGATAACATTACTGCTTCTATCATTATTGCTAATATTACTACCTGAATCGCTATCCTCAACGACAGAATCACATATATCTAAATTTACAAGATTATTACTAATAGCAGGTATGTTTTTTGCACGAGTGAGATTCTCTCTAACCCGTTTTGCAATTATTCGCCTAATGTTGATTTTCCATCTCGATCCATGATTATGATGCAATTCCCGAGGGAGCGTCGTCGTTGCACCTACTTTTTGAAGAACGAAACCAATTCATTGCTGCAGTTTGAATTATATCATCGGTGGGAATACGGCCGCTGGGATTTTTGGGATCGGGAACGGACTCAACTGTAAAGACGTTTCGCACGGTTTCTGAAATTTGCAATCCAATTAAACATTAAATAGAGACCAACAATTAGAAAATTTTCTTCATTTTAGAATATATTTTAGCACCTTTTACGACTTCCAATAGTTTTAGGTTTTTCATCGATGTCTTGTTTCCTTTACCCGTAAAATTAATTCGCCTGCCAAATTCATTCGTAAATAATTTTTTCAAGATTTTTCTAGTGCTCGCCTTGATCTGTGTCGCAGTTGAAAATGCCAAATATTCAACCTAGTATCAAATATAAGAAAAAACATTAAGGTTTAATTATGCATGTAAAATATCTCGATTAAATCGTACCAGTAATTCGCGATTTGAATCCACCTCGAGCCAAGATTCAAACTCCGCCAGTGCTACCTCGTTGTCGAGGGGTAATTTTGGAATGGCACTGAAATTGGGAGCCTTCCTACCATCCGGCCTTTGTTTCACATTAATCAGTAAAGCCTTAATGTCTTTAATGTCTTCAGCCTGCTTTTCCAACAAAGTTAGCACACTTTGCGTTGTCCCTGCAACGCGATTACAAAGCGTTAACATAATACATCAATTTTAATAAAATTATTTTGCTTGTACTAACTTGAAATCAACAGCCGTAAATCATTTAACTCCTGCGAAATTTACAACAACAAAAGAGGTGTCTCCAGTTTCAACTTGATTTCCTACTTGTAGATTGCTTTGCTCTTCAGTTTCGGGAATTATTTCAGGAATGCTCAATGGTTGGTCTAAAAAGCATCACCATAATGATTAGTATAAAATATTTGTGGCAGTATTATAAGCCTACCCAGCTCCAAATTATCCAGAAGTGAGCCAGACGGAGGACTGTTTTTGTTCGCGTCGCTATCCTCCTCATCGGATGAAGACGTTACATCCCCTCGTGTGCTGCTGGGCTGAATATCGGGAATTATCTTCTTGCTCCTTAATCTGCTTTCTGGTTCTGTTTCACTTTCCAAGTTGGAAGTGTCCTCGGCTACTTGAAGTTTTTTTGTCGCAACTTCATAATCATCTAAAATAATGATATTTGTTAGTAAATGTAAAATAATTGGAATGACTTCTCATAATTTGAATTAAATAGCTATTTACCGTAATTCCCAATAATCCTGGCGTAGCTAACTCTTCCCCACTTGACATCAGGAATAGCAGTGCCCTTTTTTATCAAATTTCTAATACTTGGCCCAGAGTTTGGTGGCCAGAGACAAACTTTCTCTGCGGGGATAACCCAGTGACTTGGAACAAGCTCCACAGGCACTGAATTGTATTTATCAGGGGGGAATTCAATTATGTAATTTTTTTTTGGCGACATTGAGACAACAGATAAATTAACAGGGAATTAAATTAACAGGGAATTTACGAGACTGCGAGGGTGGGAGAGAAAAGGAAATACCACGCTTCTCTTAGATTCAAACTCTCGCGCGTTGCCTGTCTCTTCGCACCCACCATTCATTGCGTATAAATTGCATGATTTTAACGCCTCATGTAATGTGGGTATTAACGAGATATTGGTGCGGTATTTTTACGCAATATCTCAGCACGTTTGGGTGCAATAATTTTTCAACCATAGGTTACAGTTTTTTAATGCAAATTTAGCGTGTCTCACGGTGCACACCAAACTTAGCACAAAATTTATGCAATAATCACGCCTTTTTTTGTTTGTTAAAAATTTTCACCATGGATGCGTTACTTTGACGCAAAAGTAATAATTTTTGTTGATCGGGGTTGTTGTTATTGTACATGCAGATGAATATAAAAAACTTATTAACCGTAAAAATAATGTTTGTTTTTAACTTACATGGACCCTTTTTTCACTTTCATGTTAAGGCCATTAAGAACTACGGAGGGCCCTTTTTTGCCGGGGTACTCCTTGTAGGCTTCCCTCACCTCTACGGCAAGAACCGTCGAATTTCTCCCGTGACTATCGTTTCCCAAATCCATGCCGGGATCGGTTATAGCTTCAGACAGCATAATATTCGGCTTTTCCGTACTGAGGTTCAAATCTGTAGCTTTTTCATCCATTATGAAAGCTTCGTTCGAATTTCTATCGATTGAATTAATTGACACTATTACCATATATTGCGTATACATAATGAACCAATTGGAGAAGCATGTGCACATAACTTACCCTGCATTTCCTGGCTGTGTATCCATTTTTATAAAACCCCAGATATTATAAAATGTATTTATTGAAATGCACTCGGCTGGAAGAAATCTAACTGAATACGGTCTGACACATGTGGATTAGAAAATTATTGTAGATTCACAATAGTTGCCTGCAGAGTGCAGAATTATAAAGGTTCAACTTAGGACTTGGTGATCATATAACGTCAATTGCCATTCACTAACTGAAAGTTTATGTATCATCAAAGCACTATGCAAGAAGACGCATGCTAGTTTTTTTTGTTGTCCAGGAGGACTCAACCCAAAGAAATAATTCCTTGGTTTCCACGCTATGTATGTGAAGATGCATGCGACAATCATCCATACCACGATTGCTTGACTTTTAGTGCCTAGTTACCCTTAACGGTTGCGACAAATGGTCGAGTTACAAATAAAATAATTATTTTTAAAATAGTTGGTGTAAAAGTCCCTTACAAATACACCAACTACTTTGACCTTTAATAACTTTTGAACGGGCAGACATAGAGACTTAATTCTTAAAGATGAAATCATCGTAATTTTTAGCTTGATTTTTTAAGCTAAAAATTTTAAGCTAATTTCGAGGGTACTATTTCGAAGATTGAACTTGAAATCTCCAGTGTGCAGCCCGAGTCAAGCTCGCTGTTATCGGTCAAACCGACCATTTTGCATAGAATTTTATTGTACCAAATACATTTTACTAATGCACTTTACGCCTGTTTTTTGTCAAATAAACAATGCGTATTATGCATTGGTGAAAATTTTAACTAAATATAGGTTTTTAGCCTGAATCAGGGCTTATGTACCCGTTATGTCCGTCTGTCCGTCTTGCGATAACTGTCGTAAAACTAATCGTAGCAATATAAATTAAAATATGAAAAATTTTCCGAGTTTATTAAGTTCGTGTTTTGTAATGGTTTATATACCAAAAATAAATCACAAAATTATATGCACATCGTTCATTACGAGTCCTGCTCTCAGAATAATGCCATCTTACAAGGCTCTGCAAAATTGTTGCCTTTTTAGCCTAAGTCAGTTCTTATGGAACCATCATGTCCTTCCGGAACACGATAGCCAAAATGGCTGAACCGATTTAGCTGAAATTTTCAGAACGGGTGAGACCGTAGGGCTTGATCCATACAGATTTTTCAAAAATATGTCACTCCACAAGTTTAAATGCATTTGGTACATTACAATTTCATGGAAAATGGTTGGTTTGACCGGCAACCACAGAGTCTGACTCGGGCTCACTGGAGATTTCAAGTTTAATTTTCGAAATAGTACTCTCGAGATTTTTAGCTTAAAAAATCAATCAAAAAATTACGATGATTTCATCCTCAAGAATTAAGTCTCTATGTCTGCCGATTCAAAAGTTATTAAGGGTCAAAGTAGTTGGAGACTCAAACGCCCTTTTTGAACCAACGATTTTAAAATGAATTTTTTATTTGTAACTCGACCATTTGTCGCAACCGTTAAGGGAGACTAACGTTACCTAGATACTTAAAGTCAAGCAATCGTGCATCCATACCTTTCCTCATTATCTATTGAGCAAAAAACGGCACAAAACCGCAGAGTCAAAAGTAGAAAGATAATCTCAATAATCAGGATGAACTTCCCATACATGCATTATTGTAAGATTAATATAACAATTTTATTGTTATATATTGAGATATCGGGTCCAGAATCACAAACATCACAGAAGAGAAGAGGGCGACATCCTTTTTATTGCAGAGAATGAGTATCACTGTTCAAAGAGGGAATGTAGCATCCATTTTAGGATCCCTTCCAAAAGGACACAAGCTGGAGGAGATATTTATGTTATAAAGAATTTCATTTATATATCTATTGTAGTATTTTATGAAGGTTAATGAATTTCGAATAAAGTAATACAAATGCAATTTTATTGTTAAAAACAAAGGAAAAATTAAATAAATAATTGTTTATGGGCAACGACTTTGTAGGAAATTGAGTGAATGTAGCTTAAAGTTCTGGCAAGATTTCACTTATCCTAATGTGACGCATTTTTTTTACCTTTTTGATTTTATTGTGTACAATTAAAATTTCCAAAATTTCAACATCTTCTGAACAAAGCGACGCCGCTGACAATGCCATGAAACCAGCGAATGCATCGCCCCAGCATCCCGCTCCAATCATATTTTGCCCGTGTTGTTTTGATCATTTTGTTGCTTGTTGTTCTTTCGAGACGTTTAAATTTTAAAAGTCAAAGTACAAGTTTGTAAATGGTTACGCCTACGTGTGCACTGGTCCTGAATGACTGACGATAAGGAGGGGATGGAGATGGAAGACGAGGAAATAACTGAGGAGGACAGTGACGATGACGATGAAGAAGACCAGCCCGAAGCGGAATCAGGCTCCACGGATTGTTCTGAAGAGGAAAGCGAGTATATTGAAAGCGATGCCGTTTTCTCCCATGAACAACACCAAAAGAACATTCTTAAATTCATCAATGACAAAGCGTGAGACGAGAACAAACAAAAATTATCAGTACTTTTATATTCAACCAGATTAAAACGATAATGTATTTATTAAATCTTTCTCAGGGAGTTTCAATTTAGCATCAATTATAACCTGTATCCTGATCTTGTACCATATTTTTGGGCCTCGGTGAATCAGTACTGTCAAGAACTAATGGAGCTCTTTATAATCTCGGATGGATGGAGATTGACAGATTTCTTGAAAGCAGCAGAGGCACAAAAGTTGCATTCCTTATTTAGATGGTAGTATATTATGTATTTTGCATGCAGAAGGGTTCCCTGATCTGTTTATTTGAGTGACATTTTTGTCTTATCAGTGGGTATACCAACAAGGGAACAATTGAACAGAAGGCGAAACATTTTCAATTGACTTTTCAAATTCTGTTGGATGCTGCCAAATTCCAGTGGCTTGCCCCATGGAAAACAAAAAACACGTTCGGCTTGAGCACTTGTATGAAGAGGCAAATTGGAGGCATGTTCCTCTCGTACTATTTTCTGACGAAGCAACCCGAACCACCTCAAGGGGTCTTGTCAACTCTGAAGAGAAAGATGCACCTGGATGCGGACGACTCGAGAGGCGTTCGATTCTTTCTGAACGATGTTGCTAAACTGGAAGATAGTGGAAATGGGAAAATGCTTAAGAAAGAAATCAAACTCATATTTCTCAAGTTACATCATCAAGGATTATTTGAAAAAACTATGTTAAAAGATGATGTAAGTCATAAGATTTTTTTTTAATTGAAAAATAATAATCATGCAGGTTTTTAATTTGGTAATTTATCAATAAAGTACTGCTTGGAAGCTCCAACCTTGCTTTTAGCAGGCTTTAAAGCTGACCCACATCTGAATTACTTTGGTCTGTTGAAAGATGTTCGAGATAAACTACTGTATTTGACCTTTCAAGGTAAGGAATTTATCGCAAAACTCGTACCCGCAAATGTAAGATAAGGGACACTTTTTTTTGAAGATTCATTAATAAGTCGAATTCACAACAGTTTATTATGAGTACTGGAATTTGTACATTTATACTCATCTATTTATGCATTAGTTATTCATGTATTGCTATTTATACATCTATCATTACAAATTCTATTCTAGTCATAGTATCTAGTGATAGTGCATTCGCATGCTAAATCAAAATATTACAAGTTTTAAACTTAAATCAATTTTTCTTTTCCAAGGAATAGGGAACACGACGTTCAAGGAAATGTTAAAAGTGGCACAAACGCTAGTGAACAAGGACAAGAAAAATAAGAAATCAAAATGCAAGGGAAATGATTCAAACCAAGCCGACTCTTATACAAGTACTTCCACAAATCAACGCCAACCTCCTCTGACATTTCAGACAAAACTCCGACAACGTCTTGACCAACAATTTCAAGCGTTCCAACAGCAGCATGCAATGCCTTCAGTCTTGGAACCTGAACCTGAACCCCTTTCTTCTAAAAAGTCAAAATCCAGCTCGCCCCAAAGTTTGAACAAAAATACAAAACCAACACCACCATCTTCCCCGAAGAAAACAATACCCACGACAAAGAACACCAGCAATGCCAACACCTTTCCTCCAGCTAGAAAAACGGAGTGGACGGTTGAAGATGTGCAGGCATTAAAGCAAGAGCGTGACTTGGCAGTCATTGCATTTAGAATTATAGAGATTTTAAGGTTTGTTACACCAGCAAACCCAATGACCACATCTCGACTTATCAATGAGCTTAGAGTTGAACAAACCTCTAAGGATTTGATCGATAAGTATGCCACAGTAAGTAGGTCATTACTTTATTGCATATAATTGGATGTTTTAAATAGTTTATGTGTAATTTATTTATAGCGAGGCAAAGTCAGCCATGATAACAGATTAAATTGTCCAAGTCGCTTGGCTAAATTGAGTAAACGTGGTAAGAATTGTGACTGAGCGTTTGAGTTATTTGGACCTATTTTTTATACTGTATTATCAAATTATACTGATAGGGAAACATCATTGCTTTAATACCACTGGGACAAATTCCTGGATGAATTACATCAGCGATTCGAAGAAACAATCAAAGGCTTTCACACCTGCAGAAATGCTAGAAAAACTAAAAACTCATACAGTCGTTGCTACTGAACCATCACTAATATTCAAGCCCCTCCCACATCCAGAAACGTTTGTCGATGGGAATGAAGAGTTTGAATTTGATGATGACAATGTTGACGACGCGTGGTCAATAGATGAAAATGAGAAGTTTCTTCAAGAAGGTGCTCATGTTGAATCTGAAAATGCCACTGTCGGAACAAAACCAACCACTACCAGTCCAAAGGTAAGAATAAGTAATTAGCATACATAAGTCTTCAAACAAATCGGCCCATAAAAATTTCGGTGTTAATTCAAAATTTCAGAAAAACGAACAATTACGTGACATGCCAGATCTAAGTAAATTTTGGGAGATGGACGACGATAGTGCCACTGCAAGGTTGACTTTGGACCATGTATGCATAGCGCTGTTTAATTGTTATTAATTAATGGTAAGGTCTAATTGCATTCGTCTTTATTTGGTATTATTAATTTATTACAGGAACAACCTCCTCGTCTCTCTCCCGTGATTTTACATGATGATCCTTTACAGGACATGCCTTCAAGTTCCGTCGCCTCATCAATCACTGGTGGAAGGGATCTCAGCATTTCCAGCGTGCAGCAAGTAGATTCGTCACCTAACACGAGGCCTTGGTTCATTCTTGTTAGTTGACGCTTTCACAATAAAATCGCAATTACGTGATTACTGCTTAAGTAATCAGTAAATATAAAATTTCCTAAAACTCTGTTTGTTTTAATTAGGTCACGGATGAAAAACGTACTGCGAGTTCACCCTCAAGCTCAAAAGGTTTGTTAGCAACAGAAGCCAAAGCGGATGAACCAAGTAAATTTTTGTCTATGCCCACAATTGCAAACTTATCGTTATCGACACCATCTAAAAACTCTGAGCAGTCTACATCAAAATGTGGTACTCGCACCGTTTCTGAAAGGGCCGGTAAACAACCTTCAAAGGACTCGATGGACACTGCAACGTCCAGTCGTCGTTCTCTTCGATCTTCAAAAAATAAATAAAAATTTCATACATTGATGCATACAACTTATAACTTATAAGCACATGAGATTTGTGTGATTTGCCCCAAATTCCGTCTCACTGCGGGATGAACTTTTCTAGCTGATGTTTTGCAGCTCTGATTAAATTTATGGAATAAATAAAAACGTTAAAATCAAATTACATTTTTAAACTAAAAATTTAACAATATATATATAAGTTACTGACAGATTTATTTCTATGAAACTACTCTAACCGGGAGCGCCATAAGCACAATGCAAACTATAAGGAGCTCATTATTTGGATTATTCCGGTAAATTGACTTAATATTGATTAAGCAAGCGGCTTGTGAATCAGAAGTTGGATATAATATAAATCCAATTCAATTAATTGATTGCTGCTGCAAATTGTTACAGGCGTGTCGTTGCTGCGGGTATAAATTCAACCCTCTTGGCGACACCAACTCTGGCAAGTCATTTATATCTCCAGCCGTTCGTCGTTCAGTCGTCATCACGTTTACTGCAACCCCCTCTGCTGCAACACCAGTCTCATCGCAGCTTATCTACCAATCTGCTGAGATCATTCATTGGGGGGAGGCAACCACTGGGGGTGCTCCCATCTCCACCAGCCCCGTTCTTCACCCCAGTCCGGACCCACATCCGAATCCACTTTCCCAGACCCAAGGAGAATCTTCGAGTGCGACGCCACGGATGGAAGAAGCACATGTCTACGCCAGGAGGACGGCGACTCATCATGCGCCGAATTTTGAAGGGCAGATTTATCCTCACCCACTGATTAGTCAGTACCAGTCAATATTTTAGTAGACCCGGTTAATACATAAATCCCCATCTTAATTTGATTGTCATCATTTAATACTTTTGATTAGTACTGCAAAAGCTGACGAATAAAATGCTGATCCGGCCATGTTGTTCTTGTTAAAAGTATTCGTTTATTATTGATTTCCGTTTATAATTATAATAAGTTTTGGCTTAATTTTTACAAGGTTTATGTATTCAATATTTTAGATATTCATGGTCAAATACTTAGTTAATTAAGATTTAGGAATGATACAATGTGATGATATTTTAATATTTATATAAGTAATAATACTTGATTCTTATCCTACCAAACAGTAAGGTAACAGGTAGTAAAGAATTAGATTGTGTGACCCATACTGCCTTTGTAAATTTACGATTTTTTAATATTTTTTCGCAAACATAATTTAGACAAAGAGGTAGCAATTTCTTGAGATCTGATAAATAACTATCATGTACATATAGTCAATTATTTTTACACATCATTCATACTGACGGTTTGATCGTTACTCTTAAAGAACAAGTCAAATTGTTGATACATTTAAATCGGATCTCATTAATGAATGTAGAATTAACAGATTTGCCCTGGTTCTCAGATTTCAAAACTGAATGTACATGAGATCAAACTACGGGGGCACATTTCTGAACCGGAAAAACATTCAAATCAATCGATAACCGGAAGCTAAAATTAGCTACATTGCACATATTTGTATGATTTACCTAAGTTGGTATAATTTTACTATTTAATAATCATGGCTTCGTCAAGATAGTTACCAGTGTGTGGATCAATTTGTACAATTACTTGAACAAATGCAGATTAATTGACATAATATATATTATGGCTCATGAACTAGTTTGTGCTTAACTATAAATACGTATATTTACATACAATATCAATTTCATGGGACTGATTTAGTGCAATTAAACTGAGTAAGATTATTTTACGTACATATGTATAGGAATTGATTGATACAAGGATAACAGTCTTTTAAAGTTTTATTGAAAATCTCGTCAACGTTTTCAAAGTCGAAAAAAACATGTCACTTTAGGGCTCGAAGGCTCGAACCCACATTAGATATTAAATACTTTTACTTTTGTATGTTTTATTTAAAAAATCCCAGCACCATTACATACTGCAGCTACAGATATACTTTAATCTGTGACTTATGTATTTTAAGGAAAAGTGGAAGGGAAATGCAAGGACAAACAAAACATAACAAAGGAATGACGAGTAGGTTACCTAAATTATGTATTTTAAGATAATACATATTTATGCTTTGTTTGCTGTATATAGTGTGCAAGGTTTCAGAGTTACATATACCATACATTTAAGGAATTGGGAAAATTGATTTGGCATATTAATTCGGAACACAAGGTGTAGGTGGTGATTTCGACGATGACAGTTATGCCCACCTAGATTTCTTAGTATTGCATCTTTCCAGTATCGATAACCAATTATTCTACATCTTGATCATACAATTCCCAGTAGTCCAGGAATACCTCGTCGCTTTGTGGTTTACTAATTGGTGCTGGTTTTTGCATCTTCTGCTCCTTGCTCATGTGATTATTATGTCGCTTATGGTTGTTTAACGATTTATTATTAGATTTCAGAGTCGGCTTGGTTTTCTCGGGTGGACAAGGTGTTCCTTGACAATTTTTTTTGACAAGTGGTCTGGGAAGAGCATGACATGCATGTCCAGCAGGTCGACCACTTCCGTACCACAAACACTGCAAAACGCGAGTCCGAAAACCAGTAGAGCCACATTGTGAAACTTTGCACTAAATGAACAGAACATGGCTGATTAGTCTGAAGTCTACGTTTGCATCAACATTTTATACAACTTTCTTACAAAACTCCACGCGTAGGTGTGCCAGGTTCCGAGGCATTTGGGATTGTAGCATTCAATCGCTTCGACTGGTTTCTCCTCAGGGTTGCACTGCCTGTGTACTCTGTCCTCCTCCTCCTCAGGTTGATCTGCGACGTCAAACCTCTCACCGTTGTTATTCAGCATTAGTGGAACAGAAGTCCCATTCGGATACTCGCATGATACTTGGCGTCGTTTCAGAGCTAGAATATTACACGAAAAAAATATGAATCCTATTTTATTTGACTCTGAGATTAAATAGGTAGTTGCATTTAATCTTCTACATATTTATTATGCATGATAAACCTTGAGCGGAAAAAGCTAATATTGCATTTACGCCTATTTACACTTCTGCACACCTCTTGCATACGTATGCACAGTCAAAAACTTGTGTGCTTTCACTGACTTTTTCTTTCATTGACTTTTTCCCGACTTCTGTTCTGGTAATAAATATACCCGACTAACTATGTATCGCCAGCTCACTCAGTCACTTTCGAACTTGGGAGTCGAATTGAAAGGATTTTGGTGGATGCTAAGTATTCTGTGAGACCGACTTAATTAAAAAACTTTCCTCAAAGATTAAACTGCCATAACTGTCCAATAACTGAACATTTACATCTCGTTACATGTCACATCACAACTCACCTAACCTCTCTTTACTCTTATGTACTTTTCTTTACCGTCGGATGTCTGTTGAACCAATTTTTTCTTTACGACTGGGTTCTAATTTTCAAGAAAAAAGAATGACATCTGTCATGTCAAAGAAGATGGGTCGACATGATCACTTATGTATTAAACACTTTTTCTTGATGGCCTAAACTTTTGTACGTATCTATCAACTCCTTTATTGAAAATCCTATATTATTTCCAGAAATTCTGTAAATTACTTATTATTATTCAACTGAGGAAAATGAGGCTGATGGAAATGGATAAAATGAAGCGAGCACATTTTTAAATAGATGGTCACGAACGGTTTGGAATAGGTTCTAATCAGATTAGACTAATCTCGGGATCGCAATGGGATGATCTCATAGATTTATGAATTGTGCATACTATTTGAGTTGTACAATTTATTACAAAATAATAGAGTGCGTCATATTGAAGCCTACATGATCTCAGCAAGCCGACATAATTAAATAAACGTCAATATTTGTGAAAATGCGTAATTGATTTTTTGTAAACTTTCACACATGTTTTTTCCTAAGTTGACACTGTGCAGTAATGTCAGTTATATCCAGAAGTAGGAGGGAAACTCGCATCTCGACTGGATTTTTCAGCTCTTGTAGAAGATAAAGCTAGCGCTGCAACCCGAGTCAAATTGCTGGCATAAGGGACATCGGCTCAGTCTGTAGCATAAGCACGCGGGTTCAAATCTCAGTAGAGGCTAGTTTACATTTTTGCAAGCCAGTTTTGACTAAAATGCTTTTAACTTTGCCATAAGAGGTCAAGTTCTACTAGTAGGATATTCAAACCGCACCGACAGCGTGTGGGGGTGTGGTCAGTATGAAAAACTGATGATATTGACCACTCCCCAATATCTTCCCGGGGGTGGTCCGGCTATGCTGCTAGTAGAACTTTACCCCCTATACAACGGTATAACATTGTGGTCAAAACTAGGTTGCAAAAAGTAAATTTATCTGTACCGTGCTGCGGTTTGAACCTGGAATACTTGCAGTCAAGCCGAGCCGATGTCCCCTACGCCAGTGTGTTTGACCCGAGTTGCAGCGCAAGCTTTATCTTCTACAAGAGCTGAAAAATCCAGTCGAGATGCGAGTTTTCCTCGTACTTCTGGATATAACTGACATTACATCCAATCTTTTTCTATTTTTGACTTTGCAATTATGCAAGTAAAACCAAAATATGAGACAAATTCTGACATCACCCTTTAAAAAATTGTACATGTATGTATCAGCCGACTCCTAAACCTGGATGACCGTTATCCACATCTCGTAGTTCTCAAAGACTGTACCATTTTCAATTAGAATAGAACTACTAGCGGAAATTCGGTGTAATGCACAATTTGCAAAACCTATATGAAGTCCCCCAATTATGTACAGTTCAGCAAACGTGTTCACCATGTGAGTATTTGGGTTATTAGCCTCAGAACTATATTTATCCATAATTATGCACAATTACGATAATTGTTTGTCATCTCTCCACTGTCAACTACTGAAAGTAGTGCATAAGTATAATTAATTTACCCGTGTTCCAGTTAAAGCATTCCACATCGAGACATTCCGTCCACTCCCCCACGACCCACTGCACTCCCGTCGTCGTCGTCCCAACATCACCATCAGCATCCTTTGTTGTCAACCCACTCAACTGCGTGTGCCTGCCCTTTGACATTAACAGTTTTTCTACTTTGGAGAGTTTATCTTCCTCATCCTCATTAATATCAGGAGTGGGCTTCGAGTGGGGAGCGAAATTAGCGACTTCTTCCCAACCGTTTTGATAATTTTGGAGTTGTTGACTTTGTTGTAGTTGTTCAAGAGTGCTCCACCTCAACGATTTTGAGAAAGATTCATCCTGTTCCATAATCTCATTTTCTGGATCCTTCCTTCCCAAGTCCCATGTAAGTGGAAAGTGGAACTTCCATTGACGAGGAGACCATCGAATCTGCGTTTTATGCGAAATTTTCATATAATTCTGTATGGCAATGACATGAAAATCATACATCTCAAAGCTAATTATGATGCCACACAGAAGGGACGAGATTGAGTACCCCTTACCCAAGAGAATAGCGAAGAGAAGAGAAAGTGGAGGAAGAAAGAGGAGGAACGAGACGAGGCGGAAGAAGAGGACGTGACCCCGACCTCGTATAGCTTAGAATTAGGTGTAATTATTTGACCGTGATACATTGGCACGGAGACACCGCCCTCCTGAAGATAGAAAGCAGAAAATAGAGAATAAGGACGTACCTAAGTAATTGGCCCATTTACATAATTTACATAAGCAAATGCATATGACATGACACAAAACAAAAATAGCTAGTGAAATCAATATTGAGTGTTAGGAACATAATACATAGGTTTTAAAGAAACATAGCAAATTCCAGATTGATTGATTTTTACATGATGCAGTACTAACCTGTATTACATGTAAGCTTAAATTGGTTTGGATAATGCTAAAAACTCACCTGTTGATCTGCATAAAGAGTACTGTCTTGTGAATTTGTCCTGCCACGGGGTCGTTTATCTCGGCGATCGCCTAAACAAATTTGTATGATAATAAGATGCCATCCAGTTTATGTGGCATGAGAAAGAATTAAACATGTACAGATCTCACAACGTTGATTTAGTCAAATGCAATCGCATATATGGACATTGCATGCGAGGTTTGCATGAGGAAATCAAAAATTTGAATATTTGCTCCGATAGATGAAAAGTTTATGGAATCCAAGCAAGTAAAATCTTTTCAATCCGTGTCTATTTCTTGGACATCCCTCAGGTTAAGATTTGGCTACTCTGAACTTATTTCCATTCATGTGTTAAACTTTACTTTTGATATTCCATTCCTCAAAAATTTACGACACCAGTTTAGTCTTCACAGTTCCAGACGCACGTACATAATACATACGTACCTACGTAATAAATAGCTATCGGCTTCAGGGCATCAAAAGTCCATGTTGAGTGGAGTGCTTTATTGAAAAAGTAGCCATATCCTCCGGACTAACAAGAAGGTAAAAGTGTGAAAACTTTCTAAAAGTTTCCGATTTTATAAAATTCTACAAACTTAAAAAAAATGCCTAGATCTTTTCAATCGCGTCAACAAGATGCCTTTAACTCGGAAATCTCGGAAATCTTCAAGTGGACACCACCACTTCGCCAGCTACAAAACTTATTATAGCCATATCCTGAAAGTGGCACAGCCAGGTTGTGGTCTCACGATGAGTTCAAAATCTGTGGCCATTTTGGATTCGATGATGAACGATATGTTTGAAAGGATTGCAACTGCCGCAGCCCAATTAATGAAGAAGAGCAAACGCAAAATATTAACGGAAAGAGACGTCAAATTTGCAACCGAGCTGGTGTTGCCCGGAGAGTTGAGGACATGTGGAAATAAACATGGAGAACAAGCAGTTGATCTTTACAAGAAGTCCAAAAATGAACAAGAGAACGAATTGCCACCAAATTCGTTGTACGTGCATTATAATTAAGTGAATGGTCAAGAAACCGTTATAAGCAATGATTATATTTAAATTCTATATTTTTTAGAGAATCGAGGTCATCAGCCGGACTAGCGCAGGAATCTTCAGAAGAACTATTGTACGAAACTTTTCGGTCCAATGTGAGAGGTCATTCATCCCCCATTCTCCGTATCCGTAATGGTATTTTACAATAATAATAGGATATTTAGTGGAATATGTAGAAGTATAGATAATCTGGTACCTGAGTAAGGTTTTATCATCAGGGTAATATTTGATACCGGTCTTCCATTGTCTGTGGAAATCATTTAATTTTTTAGTAATTATTTTTTTAGTAAATATTCCAACTGAATATATTTTACCGATTAGTGATTAATGTCAAACTTAATAAAGTCAACCATGCCTATTTAAGGAACAACTTACAAACACATGTGTAGATACCACTATCACTGTACGTCGTATTTGTTATTTTAAGCACCCCCGTCTTGTGAATGAGTTCCATCCGGTCTGGCTGCACTTTGAGGTACTCGTGCCCCTTCATCCAGATGAGAGATCCTTTGTCCATCCCCTTACCAGATGGACATCGAAGACGCAGGACCACTCCGGCGTATACTGTTCCCCGACCTTTGACCCCCAGCGTCACTTTCTCCTTGTACTCTGGTTCCTCAGCCGGGCCTCCTCCGTGGCCGGTTGACGCAGGCCTTGACATCTGCAAATGACACCAAGTTTTATAATAAATCCTCCCTAATCCTTAGCGTACTTAAACTTTTGCTGATTAGAATTGAGTTTTTGGGCCAACGCTTGAAAGTGTGAATGATATTCGAGAGAGCGAGAGGCCAACAAAGTGAAGGTGGACAAAACAAGGTTATTCGTGGTGGGTTATAGAGAACGGGTCCCAGAGGAGATCCCATAAAGTGATTGTGCTTCTCGTGGCAGAGAAAGGAGATGATGAGCTGATTAATAATAAACAACATGGCTTCACCGTCGGAACGCTTTCCTTCACTCTCGACCTTCTCTCACCTACACCTTCCACTTTTCACATAAATCCACACTGCACCCACCACCAACCAACCAACTACAAACTAGTGAAGGAGGAAAAATACTGAGTGAAAGTTCTGCAACCAAATCATCATGATACAACATGCAGCTTTGGCAATAGCAAAAAATACCATGCAGTATAGTCTAACGTCGAAGTAGGGATAAATATTTTCTGCTGATAGTTTGGTATGACTTATCTGATTCAATCAATCTGGTCTATAAATATGCTTTTACATAAGTCACACATACGTATTTGCATGTATTAGTATGCAGTGCTAATAAATTGATAGAAATCATGGCAGGACATATTACGATACTTTTCAAACTATTTAAATTCATAAGGATCCAAAACGTGTGATAAATTAAGGACTTAAAATACTTTGGCAATTTAGGCAAACTCTAACATCGTAATCTCGCAATTTGTATTGAATTTGTCCAACTGCCATCAATTCATTCTTGGGACATTCGCATTTTTCTGGACTTTTGGCTTATGAGCTTATATGTCTGTCTACCTGCTTAAGATGGGTTGAACATCGTGTAATGTCTAAACTCTGAGATTTTGTTGTTGAGAGTGATGAGAAAGTTTATCGTGTCTCATCGCTTAATGCAGCAGTTTGTAGCAGAGAATGCTATTATCCCAGATAGCAGTCTAATAATAAAGTAGCAAACAAGGAACTGGGCAAAAGTAGTTGGACGGAGAAATATGTATTTCGCCTCCTCCTCTCTCATAATAATTCGGCCTAGTTTCATTCTTGGCTTGACTTTCTGCCTGTATGTGTTCCTGGACCTGACTCACTCACTCCTTGGTCCGAAAGTAAAGTCAGCAAACCAGATCAGAAACGAAATGTAACAACCATAAAGTCATTCCCCCACAATACTTGTGTTTGGTCATATCTATGGTGCTACGTGGGACCCCTGTGCATGCTTCCGTGGGGAAGAGTGGTACAACTGATATCGATCCCACCCATCCGCCGGCGTCTCACACGAAAGCGAAAGCCAACTTTCCCCATCTGCATCTCACTAACTGTCTCCACTACCAGTTCACCCTCTCATTCTTTCATCACTTCTTTCGCCTCTCTCTCTCCTGCACAACGTCCTTGTGTCTGAAACTCATTCATTCTAGGCAAACTTGTTCAAGTCCATGATATGCGAAAGTTAAGCTAAAAATATGAGGCGTAATCCCCTTCATGGAAATTGTGGTCGACTTTCAAGCCCTAAACGTCGTCTGCAAAATCTTGCAAATTATTTCACCAAAAAACATTTCTCCAATTTTTTTCAAAGTCGCACTAGTGGTGGCACTAGAGCATAATTTGCATCCCTTATGCTTTCACCAGCTCAAAAGAACTCGGCAAAATCACCGCCACCAACATGTATGGATGAGCGAACGCAACTAAATGCATTGCATCACTTAACCAACTACCAACCAACTACTAGATATGTATCAGAAACCTCTGAAATTCTGTCAGATTTGGGAGCAGGAAAAACTTTGTTACGGTTTTAGTGAGAGCAAGTAATAGTGGAGGAAGGAAGGAAGGATTGTTAGCGTGTGTATGTGTGTGGGGGGCGGGCGAGCGGTTGTTGGCCAGTTTCCAGAACATTATTCCACTTATCCCACCCAATCTAATCCAATACGATGGCAATGTGATTCATTCAACTGAGGCTGCTCGAGTTTAAATTACTGAAACTATTTTCCTCCACCATCCAAACAATTACCTTAGAGCAGGATTTTTTGTTGCACGACTTGGTCTCCCCCGGTTTTGGAGAATTGCAGTGAAGATCCCCATTCGACAGCTCCACTATTTGACCCAAAGCACTTATTTGCTTGCAGTGGATGATTCGCGTTCTGAGTCCGCCGCCACAAGGTTTCGAGCACTTGGGAACAAGAATAGAGGTCACCTCAAGTTGGTTATAAGATGGTCTCAAATGCTGTAAGAAATTTAAATGAGTGATTCAACCTTACCTTTCCCCACTCCCCAGGCTCCCAATACGGGGGACAATTCACAGTGTTGCAGAGACGCTCTGTTCTTGGAATGGCCGAGGGACAAATGTTGTTTGGGACGATTACCGTATTTCCTCTCGTGACCTCGTGAATACAGCTTACCTGGACAAGTAACAAATTCATAGTGTTAATAAGTAAATCAAAGTATTTACTGGGCATGTGGAAGTAGTGAATTATGTGAAAGCAAAGCTGTGGACTTAATTTTTTTGTCGATCTCTTATTTATTTAGTCCCTTCAACTTTGTCCTCTACAAAAGCAAAGGCAAACATTCTATACTAAATATGATGACCTTCATTCTCTCGTTTGTTACTTTTGTGAATGACCAGTCTTTTACAAATCGATAAGTTACACTCAAACGAATTGACACAGTAGAAATATGATATAAAAGTTTGATTCATGGCCCTTCATGATTTCTTTTTGTACAAAAAACTTTCTCCGAGTATTTTATTTTGCATGAATTTCTACAAGGGGAAGAAGCTCCGAAAAGATATTCGTGCAGTTCTGCATGTATTGAACGGTATACTTTAATATTTATACACTTTATTGGTGCAGACATTACTCCATGAGTTGTACAAGTGCCTGTTTATGTATAAACATGTGAATGTAGGTATCCACGTCTTTGCCTTTCACGTGGCTGGCTGACCAAAGGGTACTTTCATTGGGTCCAGTACATCAGTCCATCTTTTTTACTTTCATCCAACAATGGCGTAAGTGGTAAACGATCACTACGATACGCTTCGTGGACTCCATAGCTCAGCTTTCTTCTTTTACTCCATCTTTCTCACAATAAAGTTTCTCTACTGATTTTCTTTCCCAAGATTCTGCAGGATTTTTCGCCTTATTGAGGAAATTGAATACGAGTTTCCTTCTTCTTACTGGCTTATACGCTGTATTATGATATGTAGGATGCGAGGTAGGTACGTATGTATAATGTAACATAACGCCACCAACGAACCAAGCACAGCCAGTCACTGATCCATCCATCCAAATCCCATTTCCTCAACTTTCAATGCATATTGATCAACGTGAGCTGATCTCCACAATGAAAGCTGGCGTGGTTATTGTGGTAGAAAAGTCTGGGGTGGGTGTGGTGGAGGCATAATAGACCTTGTGGTTCCTCATTATTGGTCAACAAAAAAAATCCTTGAGACGTTCTCTCAAACTCTTGAAAGAAATGCGATATATATTTGTTCTATTTTCTGTGTTATGTAATTGTTCTAATTTTTTTAGCCTTTGAAAAAATCCCTACATGAACCCCTCTTCATATGAAATCTGATTTTTCTCTCGTGGGTGGTTTGACTTGAAAAGTAAGAAAGCACTGCTCACTCGGTCATCTTTCACTTTCTGCTCTGGGTTTTCAATTCCTCAATTCGTATCATATCACAGACAGATTCATATCCATCACCACGCCGATCAGCCAACCAGCCAGCGTATCAAGCACCACGGAAAATACTTTTGTACTTTTCTTTGCTGGATGTGTGAGTGAAAGCCACGAAACCGAAGTGACTGGTGAACTGAACCGAATTCTTGGTGGTAAGCAGCAGCAGCATGTCTTATCGCTTCTTACACCCCTCACTTGCATTCCCATCGTCCCGAGAATAACCAAATCCGCCGCAAGTGTAACCCAAACGGATTCTTATTTTCCACTTATGAATTATATCTTCGCCTCTGTGGCTGGCTCACAATCCTGCCATTTGAAGAATTATGGATTCTATTTTAAAGAATGAAACTGGAAAACTACGTTAGAATCCGTATTATGCTCGGTCACATTAAATGACAATACTGACGGGAAAGTTGACAATCACTGTGATGGGCATATGTAAGTATACAGGACGAAGACGTATTGTGAGAAATGAAGTTCTCCTTCATTGATCGACAGCAAATTGTCGAATTTTGAAATAAATTTAATTTCCTTCTTGAAAAGTATCACATCGTCATGTGTCGCTGAGCTATGTATTGCGTATTAAATGTTTCTTCAGTCGTGAATTTTTTCCAATATCCTCAAACCTGTATCAACATGCGATCTGATTGAATTTTTGACACCTGGTAACATCGTCTACGATAAGGGTGTCACATGTTAAATCTTCGTGCTACTTCCACTCTATTTGAAACCTGTTATTTTGTGATGAAAGTACAAAGTTTGTTTCCTAAAATTGGCTATTTCAAAGAACGTGTCCGTTATAGAAATAAAATAAGTACGATCTTCACCCTACATACATGCGGAATTGCGAACATGCAAAGTTGCAAATCTGAGGGATTCTTATGTGTCAATTTACCTCTCTTGTCATAACCCCGCCCCCACATGGTTTTGAACACGGTCCGAATTCCGTCACGTTCCATCGTGGCGGACCTATAATAAAAATTATATGGAAGAATTTCTCATGTTTCTAGAAACACCGAAGTTAATCCACATGAAATATAATGAAATGAAGATATAAACTAAAACTGTGCTCTTCATTCCAATTGAAAAGTCCAAAGTTCCAAGTGTGTGAATTATTATAAAAAATTAAAGTGATACAAACAGGTTCATTTTTGCGTTGACCACAATTATGGAACTGGCACTTAGCATAATTAATTTTGAATGTTAGAATGAAATTTTAGCATTTACAGGGATGATCATTGCATGTTCTTGTGGTAGCAATATCTGGTTGTGGTTTGTCCATACAAAGAACGGGGGTGGCGATTCTTTGGTCATAGTCCCTCACGCATTGGATCATTGCCTCTTGAATGCCTGAAACGATATGGAAAAACAGAAAATGTACAATTGTTAGCAGACTTTAGACAAAGTTTAAAAATTGTTCCACCTACCTCCCAGACAGCTCGTAGAACAGGGGGTGCTGTAAAAATGTGTTTTAAATAATTTCCAAAATAAAAAATAAAAATTGCCAACTTACTAGCCAAGCACTTTCCAGGAGAAAGTCATGTCCTGCATCGCCATTCCTGGTGGAAGCAAGAGAGTGAGTGAAGAGAGGTGAGACGTTCAGTGCGTGTTTACCCGTGCAGACAGAAACGTTGTTCTGCTCGCATCAAGTTTGTTTACATGTACCTGTGATTTGAACTCACTTCATAAAGTTTTTTCTTCACCTGACCCGTTGTTTAAATTTTTTTTGAAACATGGCGAAAGTTTTCGTGATGGAATGGTGGGATAAAAATCCGAACAAAGTGTTAAGTGAGGGGGAGGAGGGTGCCAAGTATATTGGCAACTATGAAGGGTGCACAGAGGAGGAGACGGCCGAACAAGCAGCAACGATTCATGTTGACAATCTCCGTTACAAGGATCAAACATGCTCGGATCAGTAAGTACACACGATATATTTTTAACAAAGCCTGATCTATATATGTACAACGCCTTGCTAGAACTAGTCATAATTGTACATTGCTCTTTAAATCCTCATTATTTCCATCTTTCAGGGATTACTACAAACAGGGATTTTGGCCAAATGTACAAGGGGCCTACTGGACTGGGGTGGAAGCCAAGACCATGTCAAAAGCCAAGGTGAAGAAAGCTGTTGTGCGGCGCCATGACAAGAAGGCCGCGTCGACATTGGCCTCTCATCGGAGTTTGGCGTCACTTGGGGAGAAAGGTGTTAAGAAAATTGTTGCCAAAATAAAGTCCAATCCTCATCTGGCTAAACATATATCGTCTCAACCGGTTGGGAAACTTGATCTTCTTTTGGATAAACCATCAAGTTCGACTGAACTGTATGTACCTGATCCTCTGCTCAAACCATGGACATGTAACCAATGTCATGCCAAGTTTGGTGACAAACCAGGCTACTTGAGGCACCTTCGGCGTCACAAGGAAGTGAAAACACAAAGTTGTGCTCTTTGTGCACAATCATACACTGAAAATTATGAACTCACCCGACATATTGAGGTGAATTAAAGATATTTTATGCGTACATTTAAGTCGACTCGACAATTTCATTCCGCGCAAAATTACGACCTGTACGCAGCACTTTACATGCATTTTTTTGTAAATCTTAGAGGTGTCATGGTGAAGGGGTGTGGAAATGCAAGAACTGCCCATGCAGGCTACAAACGAAGAACGGTCTTGGGCGTCATGAGAAGTACTGCACGAAAGTGGGAGTGAATTGGAAACCCACACAACAATCCCAACTTCATCACGTTCCTACTGAAATTGATGTGGTAAAGGCTCAGCTCGCGGAGAAAGACGCTCAGCTCGCGGAGAAAGACGCTCAGCTCGCGGAGAAAGACGCTCAGCTCGCGGAGAAAGACGCTCAGCTCGCGGAGAAAGACGCTCAGCTCGCGGAGAAAGACGCTCAGCTCGCGGAGAAAGACGCTCAGCTCGCGGAGTATAAAGAGGACGATTTAGTTATCTCTGACGACGAGTTTGGGTTTAAGGAATACATGGCGGATAAACTTTTGTTACAATATAATAAGTAGTTAATTCTCACGTTGTACATAATGTGTTCATACTCTGCAATTACTATTCGTCTTGCTTCTTGAAACAATTGTATATAATAAATATGAAATTAACACCATACCTGGTGGAAGTCCCACCGATAGCGTTTTCCTTATATTTCCACCACTTGCTTCCGAATCGGCCAAAGCTGCTTGGTGAACATCAGATAATCGCTCGATGCCCATATCACTGGAAAGCAGCACAGACCACAACGACGGTGATTTGGTGTTATTTCACTACATTTTCATCTCCAGAAAACGATTTACATAATTTTCTTGTCATATAAGAAACCTACCCCAAATGACAGGGTGACGAAAAACAAGGTTCGCTTTCTGATGGCTTAGGCCCAGGACACTCTTTGTCAGGAAGATTGGCAATGGTTCTCGAGAACTCGAGAAAAATCTTACATTTCACTTCTCGTGTTCGACTGTAATAATAAAACAAGCGTTTCTTTTGTGCATTTAATACGTACTTGTGTCGAGGCTGACTTTCTAGTGTAGTAGTGATATTCAAAATGATGTGGTAAATGGTCGCTTATTAGTTAGTATTATTACCTTCCTTCGCCACAAGTTGAGCTGCAAGGACTCCATTCTCCGGCCACAAAACTATAAATAAATAAGTATTGAGCACATACTTTAACAGTTTTTAATTACCGTCTCCTCATTAATTGTTGTAGTTAGACTACAGTGCACTATTTTGCATTCATTCAACTTCATAATTTGGTTTATTTGGTGCAGTGGCATTGCAGTGATGTGGTTGATGAGTTTGAAATATAAAAAATGTACGACTGTCGGATAGTTTTTTTTATAGTGACATGGCAGAAAGTACACATCGTACATACGTATCTAGTTTGTTCGTGGTTATATACATGACAGGAGAGCATGTCAGATTTCTGCGTGGTTCGTGGTGACAATGAGATGTTTGTTGTTTTTGGGTGTCACGTTCAGTTGCTTTTTTATATTTATTAGTAAGTAGGTGGTTCATTACTACATAGACATTGCATGCATGCGCCAGTATAAGTACATTATTTATATTTGTAACAGAACACCAAACTAAACTAAGCTAACCATGGTCTTCTTGCTGCTCTGCTTGGGTGGTGGTACGGAAGCGAATACTAATGCTAAGGCACGTCAACTATTTTGCAAAAAAACGAGAGGAAGCAGGAATGATGAGACGAGAAATACTACTTACTATTTATTTTATATGTACATAAGTATGTACGTATACTATATTCGCATTTACTATTTGCAATGCTACCCAACACCATAATACAATTCACTCTCAGTCTGCAGTGACAACTGTCATCTATCCACGAGGAGAAAAAAATATTGTCACCACTTACTCCCCAAGTTGATGTATAAGCTAGATGTGATATTTATGAGAGGGAGAGAAAGTTATGAGAATACGTGAATTAGATGGTGCGCTCAACAATACTGATATTTTGCACACACTCTTTCGTATCATCAAAACCTTTGATAGGAAATTGTTGTACAATTGCAAGGAAAACTATGCGTATTTTCGCTACAAGACGCTACAAGAAATCACGAAATAATATCAGAATGCCTCATGCCTTTCCGAAATTGGACAAAAGTGTAAATGGAGTGGTTTGCTTTGCTATGTTCTCAAACGGAATAAGTATTCATTTCTATTTTTTATCTGTGGGCTAGTGAAAGTGGAATGAGGTTGTGCATGGGATATGGTGATGGGATGAGCCAAGCACCGACTAGGATTTACATTGAATCGCATCGTATCACATTGTATCCACAAACCCACAAAACGATCGTAAAAAACTAAAAACTTTCTCCGTTTTCCCATCACCCGAAACACTACGAACTATATTGCCCATGCAGACAATTTTATTTTCAGTCAATCTTGCTCCTTGTATTCCATATACTGCTGTAAGAAAATGTAATGGGCACAATGTAAAAACAATGCAAAGTATGTAGTCACCGTGGCTGCACATCTACTTATCAAACCACATTGGCATATTTCGGCTACTTGTTTCCCTACAATGTGGGATTTCACGTCCCACATTGCGCTCCAATGTATTTCCTCACATTCCACATTGTATTTCCAATAATATCATCAACCGGACAAGCAGCCAACACCTGCATGAGGTGAAAATGAAAGGAAAAACTGTTCGAAAAGTGAACCTGCTATTATAAACTGCATCTTATGCGGATCCTATACTGGAAAGTGAGTGGGAGTGACAATAGAAATTGGAGGAATGTTAGTATTAAATAAAATATAAGGTTGGCGTTCTGCGTAGTTTTGCAGAGAAATGGAAAATGCGGCTGAAATCCGCTTGAGCAAAAGACCAAAGGAGTCAAGGAAAGCCGAATTTGAGACTTTCCTGTCATCATCAGCAATTGTTGTGTAAGTTCCAATTACAATATTAAAATGATCCAGTTTTAATAATGGAGCTACTCATTAATAAGTGTGTGCCAAAGTTGGAAGTCTTAAATATTTGGACAGCTCGAGCAGGGGAACGAACGGCGAGAGAGAGAGAGATCAAATAAACTCGTTAATGTTGAGTAATCCGAGTTGAGCCATTTCATTTCCTTCCTTTCCTCATCATCACTGCTTCCCCACCAACTTCACTCACTCACTCAATGCAGTCATCGTTGGAGCAATTGTGATTATCATCAGCCTCCGCGGAATTTATGCCCACCACCAACTTTCACCCGTCCCACTCAACTTCTCCTCCTGCACAAAATGACTTTCTCTGTCAACGACCAGTCAAAATGGTCGTACACGAGCAGACGAGTTCCCAATTGACTAAATTAAATTATAATAGTTCCTGTAAAAGCGTGTGATTTAGTTGTTGCATAATCTTCTAAATTCTATACGACTTGTCTGAGAGGAGATGCCGTGCAGTGAGTAAGTAAAATGATAAGTTGGACTAATAATAATGTTTCGAGGTGCTGTTTTTTCAGAGTTGCGGAATTTTGTTGAGTTGAGATTTGTATGCTTGAGGGTCGTGGTAGTAAATATTGGTAGTGCTGGTGGTGGTAGTGGTGGTGGTGGTGGGGGTGGAAGTCAGTGAATGTGAGTTGGTTTCTTGGGACAATTGCTCGTGTGCAAATTATTATTTTCAAAAAACTTACCTTTGAAACAACCAACCACATGAAAAGTACACCCGAACGTTGCTACCAACAGCGAGAAGGACACAAATACAACACACATCAACATTTTATGAAAAACTAACACAATGTGAAAGAATAAAGACTCTCGAGCAGAGGAAAGACAAAGAAAAGATGAAAGTACAAAGAATAAGAAGAGGGATACGACTCTTGCAGGAACAAAGTATGTACTTGTGACTACACCGCTTACGGCAAATGCTAATTTGACTGGGGATTACCACCTGCTTAGCGAACCTCTCTTACGAGAAATGTTTAAGCCAATAAAAAATTCATGAACTTTCACTCGCTTAAAATACAGACATATTATGCCAACTACAGCTAAGCCATCTGTACATATACGCATCTGGGTAGTTGTACATACGGCAACATATGCACAAGAATACTTTAGGTTTTCAAAACAACTACAGTAAAATGGTTACAAGATACTTATTTGGACTTATTTGACTCTTGCAAAGATTGCAATGCACCACGACTAAATTTAGGAATAGCACAATTTCACGCATATTTAATAGATAAGGTGGGTCCCTCCCTGCTGAGTGAGGCGGAAGGCATAACGAAGCGTTAAATCTCGTGGATCAACTGATCCACACAAATTGAATTTATTTGGGTTTGTCGTTTCACATTGATGCTGTAACATTGTCGCTGTATACAATTTTCGATAGAACGAATCTTACGTGGGTTCGGATGGCAATGCATTATTGTCGAACAGCATGGCATTGTCCATGGGAGGGTAGGGTTGGATCAAGGGCAGCGTGTGCTCCCGGGGTATTCCTTCTGCAATTACATAGAATAAATTCAAATTATTCTACGATTTTAATAAAAGTCAGCCTTGTCATCACAAGGATTAAACTGGAAAGAACCTTGGTGCTAAGTGCCAAGCTGCTTCCACGGAGGAAGAAAATAAGTGGTTGTCTTGTGCACAAAGTGAAAGTTTATGTATTGTAAGTGCAATATTCTGAATAGTTTGTAATATGTTCCATGTTCCGACGCTCGCTCTGTCCCAGTACCTCTTGTTTTAATATGTACAAGAATGCATGGACGAGTGTGCGACCAAATGTTAGAAAGTTACATAGAGAAGATAATTTATTAGTTCCAGTGTGTATGCAAAGACAGAATCTCGTACAATGAGTGATTATAGTCTAATTTTTTATCCTATGCACGCTTGCACCTATGTAACAATTGATATATGTAAGAAATATTTTACGAATTTTGTAATAAGTAAGTTATGTGTAACCTATGATTAAAAATACACAAGTAGAACATCCAGTCTATCACTTAAAATTATTCTTTTCAGGCATTCTGCATCCAAACCACACTCTGGCTGGGCTTGCCGAATGTACATCCAATAAATTCTAGCTTATCGTCTGCTGAAATGGAAGAAACTGTTATCAAGTTAGCACGACAGTTTGTAAATTTTTGGTTATTTCCTTCTCTAACGTGCATTTCCTCAACAGTACAGCTCGTTAAGACATGATTACTTCCGCTGACACGTAACACCTTACACTTGACATTAGTGAGTGAGCACAATTGGGTGTCCCTTGCCATATCTACTCCCCATTCTTCATCACCTTTGAACTTGAAATTTGCAATCGCATTATTGGCCCCCCTTCTATGGCTTATACCGCGACACTTTTTGGATGATGATATGCGCACGTTTTCCAACAAGTTTCCAGAACCGTTGAGCTCGACAGCTAAATCAACGTCATTGAGAAATTCAAGATCTCGGACCTTGTTGCTGCATCCGTTCAACTCTAGTCCAGTTTTTGTTATTCCAATAAATGTCGCTTCAGCAAGACTGTTTTCGTTCCCCTCGACCATAATGCCTGTGTCAGCTTCTTTTATATGCAAATGTGTTAAACAATTTGCATGACCACGGATGATGACACTTTTGTTTCCGCCCAAGACCGTAACTTGATCAATACGGTTTCCTTTGCCGTGGACTAACAAACCCTGTGATTTGATGGCATTAGTAATTGGTCCTTCGGCTTTTGCATGCCAGCAATTAATTTTTATGTTTCGAACTATACACTTATTTCCATTAATGGTCAAGCTGCACCAATCAGTATTGTTAGATAAGCCTGGAGACAACACTGCCACGCCACCACCGTCTAAAACAATGTCATTGTTATCCAATACGAAATTGCCATCGTACCTCGTTCCAACAAGGTGTATAATGTCGCCAGAGTCAGAATTTGCTAAAACGTCTACCAGCTCACTAGAGTTGCGTGCAACAATTGTAAACCGTTGTATGAAATCATCTATTATCTTTGTTCTTTCTGCTGCAAGTTCCTTCGTCATATGAATAATTAGTTCCTTTGCCCTTCGAATATTAAACCTTGGAATAAGGTCAACAGTGACAATATTTGTTTCGCCTTCCTTCAATTTTTTAAAGTGGCCAGGACGATCCTCTGGCGAGATTAGTTGCAAAACTTCCCAAGTGACCAGTCCAAAACTGAATATGTCAACCTGTTTCCCATACAAATTTCGAAATGCCTCTGGAGCCATGTAGTCGATTGTTCCTTTTCGGCTTGTTAAGGTTGACTCATCTCCGGTAATTTCTCTGCTTAATCCAAAGTCTCCGATTTTCACGGGATGCCCATACACACCGTTGTCTGCCTCAATGGAGAAGAGAACGTTTTCTGGTTTGAAATCTCGATGAACAATGTCCAGGTTATGCAAATATTGAAGTCCAGAAGCTAATTCATTCACTATTTTAATTTGCTTGGAAGAATTGGGGGACGGATTGCTCTTGAGCCAGTCGCGCAACGAAGCCCCGCACAGCTCCATCCGTATAAGAAACAAGGTCAGTGTCTGCGAATTTCTTGCGATGTACTCACACTTTGTTTTCCACATGTGGGTTTCGATGTCAGTGGCTTTAAGGTTGTCGAGAATCCCAGCCAAGTCAGTCATTGTGACGGAATGCTCAGAATATCCGTGAGTTTTAAGAACATTAGGATGATCCTTATCCATCAAGTTTTCACACTCGCGTTTTATGGTTTGTTTTCTAGATTCCTCGTCAACGTGATAGACAAGTTTGCAAGCTATGTCTTGTGAACTCGATACAATTTCGGCTTTCACTACAAGCCCAAAATATCCTGCTTTTATGTACGAAGTAATTTTCAAATCGTCTAAAAATTCCATTTTTGCTTTAATATCAACGATCAACTAGTCGTTGCTAAAAGTGAATGTGCATATATTTGTGCAAATTGTGAACCGGAATAAAATGAAGTACAATTAGTGCAATTAATTTAAAACAGTGGAATTGTAACACACATATAGCAAACACTGTATGTATTTATGTGAATATATATGAAGGTGACAAAACTGTTATTCAAATGCTGAGTTTTTTTTACGTGTGTGTGGCTTATCAAAGTTTCATATCTAATATCAAACAATGGCACCTATTTGCAGCATTGCTTCAATACAATCATGTCATGCTAATAACCGTTGTGGCCGCATACGTATGTATGTACATATGTGCCCTCCACAAACAGCGCAAACTTTACCAAGTGCAAATTACCTTCCACATAAATGTCGTTGTCAATATCTGGAGCTTGGTATTCAGCTGGAATTTCCTCCGTGGTTGTGGTGGACGTGGTTGTAAGAATCCTGGCGGCATAGGACGATGCGGGTGTGGTTTTGCCCCGTCGCTTCTTGGTGGGGCTTCGGTGGATGACTTGGGCGGTGGGGGTGGCCGGAAGAGAGCACTCCTCCTCCGCACACGACTTTGAGACGCCAGGTTTGAGACGAGCATCGCAGTTGGAGCTGGGCAGGTTGGCGGAATCTCTGCACACCACGTTGCGAGTCATGTAGCCATTCCCACAGGTGACCGAACACTGAAAGCACAGCAAACTCGAGATAATAATAGTGCAATGCACCCATGTCTGGTTAGTTGCTACATTTTATGGCACTTTATGCAGAGTAGGTTTTAATTACGGTCGAAGAAAGAAAATACCAAAGACTGAAATGACTTAATCAATCAAATCTCCACACACATAACTTGTGCCTTTGGTTGAGTGAAAGCTGTATTTTACTACTGCATGCATACATTTACTACCAAATCTCGTATTGCGCATTTCACACCGTTTTATGACTTGGACAAGTGTAAATTACAGGGCATTTACGGCATCGTAAACCTGAGGATTTTTGTACGTGGTGTGATATGTATGAACGAAACATGTCACTATGCATGCCGTAAATGTGAACGGAAAATTATAAATGCAAATATCATCCCAAACTTGGATGGGTGGGTAGGAGCAGTCCTAAATGGATCGCAGTACAGTGGGTTGTAGATGATTGATACGTCAGTTTAATGGTTTGTAGGCTTATTTTTCTAGTAATAAATTTCACTTTTGCTTGGCACTTTGACCCAACAATTTTACTTACTGAACTCTGAATGAAATAGTATAGTCGCTGTTTCACCCTTTGCGTGTTATAATCTCTAACTATTTCCAGTCCATAGGTCATTTACTTAGAACCTACGTACGTTATTAACTGTCTTCACATTGACTACTTTCACCTACATATTTAGCATGTATTATCCATAAAAAGTGTTGGTTGCAGCTGCAACAAAAGTATGCAATTCATTTTTGAAAATTGTGCTAGAAGTGCTATATGCCAAAACTAGACTTTGATTTCTTTTATAAAACTGGTAAACGTTTTTAGGACATGAAAAATTTAAAATAATTTAAACGATGACAGTGAAAAATTGTTATTTCTACACACGTAGAATTTCTCTTGCGTGCCAAACAACACTAAACGTGCTAAGTGCATTTTTTTCAGTCATTTCATTCATCAAATCAGGTTCGCGTTTAAATCGAAGAGGGAAAATCCAGTGATCTCTGCTTTCACCGGCAATCTCTCTCTCTCTTACTTTCAACCTATTAACCCGGTGTTTTTGTTAAGGAAGTGCAATTGCTTGTGTGCATTTGCCTCGCTAGGTATGCATTCATTCAAATGCGGACACACATCCTCAGTCCTCACCACTTGTTTCAAACCACTATTTCCTTACCTTAGCGTTGTACAAAATACGAGTCATGTGTACGCTGCTTACTAATGCAAGCTACTATGACAAATATGTGTACCATGCACGATTCCTTTTGCAACAAAACAGTTTTTTGCTTTCATGTTTATTTACACGAAAAAAAGTACGACATTGTTCACTCGACATATTTTGACTCTTAACTACGTCTGGATCGCGCGTATACAGTTGACAGTATCGGATTATGTTTCGTTTTTCTCTATTTTGACTGGTTGCAGGTATTTGTCTGGGTTTATAGGGCAAACAAATCAGATCTAAGACCAGCAAAAATTAAGTTGACACGATATGTTGACTGAGAACATAATGAAAGTAAAAGTTTTATTGTTGTCCCAGAGCATTATTGATCTTGTATGAGAGGTATGCGTTCGTACGTGTCGTGTACTTGTTTATGTGGCAATAAAGTATTTCTGGTATTAAAAGGGAGGGCTTTATGTGCATCCAGTATATGGTGATGAATGGGTTTTATTTATTGAAGAAAGTTTATCTGGTCAGTCAATTTTAAGAGTTTGGTGAAACGACCATTCTGGATTTTTTCCCTTTCTCTCAAAGGCCAAGATACATAAGTAAGCGTTTTACACCGGTTTGATTATTGTGGTGCATTTGTGGGAAGTTAGAGCCCATTGGCGTGTGTGCCAAGGTGAATTGGTCCCTTGGGACAAGTTCTCACGAAAAAGTTGATAGCAAGTAAATACCAGAGTTTCGTACTTGCAGAAATACTCGGGCGCTACTGGGTTAAATCAACAACGCATATTCAAACGCAAATTATTTTACAGTGTAAAATTAAAAACAAATTTAAATAGTTTAATTAAACCAAGGAATGAAGAAACCAGTCATTATTGTAAAATCTGTATGCACATGGTATCAGACGGGTGGTTTTAAATGCCAAAATGTTATGCACTTACAGAGGACCACGGTCCAGCATGCCAATTTGGACAGGGATGAGGGTTGCATGGTTCCTGATTGTTGGAGCGTCGGATGTGGTGACACAGCTTTTCTGCAACCTGTAATAAAGTTGTTGTTGGTATTTTAATTAAATTAATTCTTAACCATGCAATTTAACCGTATTATTATATACAGTGATTATTGTGGCATAATATATGTGTCCCAAATTTTAATACCCGATTAAATAAATACCAAGTTTCAAGACTGCTCATGTGCATTCTAGTGTTTGTTTTAGTTTCATACGTTGGACTTATTATGCAACTACAACACACAAGTCTCTAATCTTCTGTGGTCAACCCCTATTCTTCCTTTCATAATATAATCTGTTTCAACCCGGTGTTTGACGTTTCTCTCCCCGTATTTCTGCCTCCTTGTGAGTGTGACAAGCGAAATGTTATGTTTTAAACTGCTTTAAGTTAAGCACGAACGAGTCAAAACCATGAAGATGTTGTAAACTTGAGTTAAGTTGTTGCCAATCATTTCCAGCACAAGAGAATAATATGCTAACAACTTCTCGGCTTTTTGAATCAAAGCAACGGATGACTGAGAGTGACACTCGGAATTGACAATGACATTTCATCTCAACGTATATAAAATACTATTTAAAATCAACGAGTAAATACATAAATCCTGCTTTTGGGGAAATTTGAGACCGATAACAACCAACTAGCAAAGTAATAAGTAAGTTGCACAGCATATGTATTCGCTAAACTGCTGACATGTCAAAAAACAAGGACGCATCAGCAAGACCTTCTTCCGTCTCAATCCAAGTTCACTAAACCCCACAAAGAGCACAATACTGCATTAGGATTGCAGTAGTGGGACAACTATTTAGCAGCCAAAACATAACCTCTTTAAAAGAGGGCATGACAGTGTCACGAGATTATCATCATCAACGACCCAACCGCTTACTCCAACACAAGAACAACAAAAGAACAACTTGCTCATCCAGCACATCATCCATGGCGGAAAAGTAGGCTACGGATGGGATGAAGGAGTGAAAGTCAGTCACTCACTTGAGACGGGAAGCTGAATTTGCACAAAAACGCAGCCGAGACAGACATTGTAGTTGTAGAGCTCGAGCTGGGTTGTAAACTTGTAGTGTCGTAGATTTCTCCAGTGGTTTCTTTTGACATGTCGATCAACGAGGTTGGTTGGTTTCTAGGTTGGAGTTTAGTTAAGTAGCAACTGACTCCCCGACTGACAGCTTACAACGGATGGAATATTTCCCTCTTTGTAACGAATACGTTGAGAATTTTCAACGCAGACGGCTATATCAACTCGTATCTTATTACTCAATAAAATAATGAAACATGCGAACATACAGCAAAATTTTTGTGGGGTTTTTTCTCCAGACAAAAACATGTTTGATCTAACACACATCAAACAAATATTTAAGTACTGGGATCCAGACGCATTTTTTTCACATTGCAATAGTTTAATTTTAACTGTGCTCTGCTCATCATTTTCTAATTTTATACTCTATTCTATCCTATTCTAGTCTATTCCACCACATGCAGTGGGAGCAGGGGCGGAAGAAGATTATTAGGTATAACCACCACATTCTTGCTTTCTCTTATTAAGCGAACGGTAAAAGTAAGTGGAATGAATAAATTTACGGGGCAGAAAAGCGAGCCTTGCTAAGAATTCCTGTCACGCGTTGCTGGTGTAAGTAAAGAGTGAAATGAATTCTTGTCTTGCGGCCATAATGGGCAATAAAATAACTGGACTGAGGCAGTGAACAGATTCTCGGTTGGAATGGATGGTGTGGTGCGTGGCTAACTCTGCCTTGTTTGTCTTCCTCTTGTCCTGGTTATTAAATTAGTCAGGTGGATGAACATCCAAGGCACGTCCAGATCTCTTCAATCATCATCACCTTATCCATGTTATTAGACAACCAGTCATATCCCCACCAACACCCCGCACCACGACAGCCAGCAAAGAAGAGATTGGGGACAAAATTCTCAGAGAGTCATTTGAATACATGACCACCATCCCCAGCCAACAAGCCCCGAGGGGACACCACTACCACGGAACGCATCTTATTCTAATATCCTCGAGGAAGTACATACGCTCCAAAAGTCACCTCCATAATAAAACTCTATGGACATGTCGTTTTCTATAAGGTAAAATAGTTGCATGGCTAATAAGACGGTCAGGAAGTCACCTTTTCACAAATGCAAAATTGCTCGTCCTCCTTTTAAGATTCATATGTACCATTTCATTAGTGCTTTCAACTGCTTTCATACATATGTCGCCAAAAACACGTTTTTTGGAGAGGTACGAGAGTGAAGACGAGCCTATTGCGCCCGTCATAAATCATGGGCACCAAAATAATAAATAGGAGACGGAAGGGAAACACATAATAATCCTCCCTCACTTGGACAAAGTTGAGTCATTTGTTGTGCGGGATTAGTTTCGTCAACCCATCCGTCCACTTCACTTTCACCAACAACTCAACCCTTCCTTTACAACAAACAAACAAAGACGACGGCTGAAGGAAGCAAGAAACCTGCGGGGCTGGCTGCATGCATATCAACTAATAAAGTTCCCTACTTTGCGAGTTCTTCATTCGTAATAAGCACGGCGAGTCTTACTTCACGTCTCACTCACTTGCTGAGCTTATTTGAATTATGTTTGCAGTTTCAATTTATTCATCTCAATCTCCCCATCTCACTCGGCCACCCCATCGCATTATCGTTGTGACCAAAATCTACGCTGGTGTTAACTCTACACTCGTTCCTAATGGAATGATACGCATCTATGTATGTATAAGCCATGATAAGTATTGATAGAAAGTGTAACTTTCTAAATACTTAAATTGATTATATATTCGCTTGAAGATTTGACTGTATTGAGCATTTCCAGTTTCAAAAAACAATTTCCAGTCATCAGGTATTGAAGTCACACAATCAATACAATAATTTTGTACTTATTGAAACATATCCTCAGCGTATTTGATAAGCAGAACAATGTTTAGGTTTTTCGTCAAGTTTTCGTAACACCGTCAAATTTTATGAGCAGATATTATTGAATGAAATTAATGAATTGGGATATAAAAGTTAACGGTTATGGGCACTTTGTTAAAACAATTCATGAACTCGGGCTTAGGAGTAATTAAACGCTCGCTTTCTCTTTTCTGAGTCACATATTCCTTGCATGCAAACTGGACTGAACAGCAGCCGGTTCCCTAAAAGTGGAAAGAAAATGGTCTCGAAAACTAACTCCTTTCTTCTCCCACACCTGATTCAATTCGAGTCTTAACTTTCGCTTCGTTCAGTAATTAATAATTTCCCGTTAATTCCAAAGCAAAAACTTTTGAAATCAGAAAAGCGATTTGTAAATCTGCACATGCAGGTTAAAAACAAACTTTCTTTATTCCACACCTGAATTTTTGTTCCGTTTTTCTCTTGAGCACAAAAGACCTTCCTGATTTTCAACCCTCCGCCACAAGTCGTTGAACACACGCTCCACTCGCCAGTCTCCCACCTAGAAATTTATTTTAGAGAAATTTACTATGTTTACCTCTTTAAATGTATTCCATCCATGTATTTATCAGAGACTAAAATCTAAGAGAAAATGTACGAAATGGACTCACTGTGGCTCACAAGGCTGGATGTTGCAGCTTTGCATGTCCAACCTCGGCTTTGTGGCGGAGTTGCAGAAATAAGAGTCCACTTTTTCTAAAGTGATGGAATTTTTGCAAACCACATTCACCGATTGGTGACCTGGAGAGAAAAAATCAGATATTATTCAATTTTTTCATGCATGGAATGCATGAGAGCGAACTCGCATAGATTGGCTGGTAATGGGCTCTCAAAGAGTAGCTTAATTTCAATCAGTACAATTGCAGAATTTTTTCCCATAAATTCTTATAGCTTGATTCTATGTTACTGTTATGCATTCCAGGTAGTTTATTTAAATCAGTTTTCAATTAATGAATGGGACACTCAGTTATAATGATTACGTGAAAATCTCATCATACCTCCACCGCATCGTGCAGTGCACGGACCACTCTCCAAATCCCAGCGATACACAGGACTCGTGCAGGACTTTGAATCGCCACCACAAACCCCACAAGCGTCAATTTTTTTCGGAGATCCAATTTTCAAGTCGCATCCAACAGCCTGAAATTAAAAGCACGAGTTTCATGGTTTTAAATGTCAATTAATTAGTTTGCTTATCGTGATTTGCAGTGCATAAAATCGTTTACTTCGCATTTCCCGTCCACACAAACATGTAGTGCTCCCATTTTACAGCGCGTCCCATCCCTAAGTTTAGGACTCAGCTTGACAACGTGATCCGTTCCTTCAATGCGGCAGGTAAGGGCGCAGGGATTGTCCTGATGGATCGAAGTATATGTAACATAATTTATGCATAGATTAATCAAATGCTGGTTTATGAATCCTTAAATCTGGCAGATCTGCCCACGATATGGAGTAAAATAAACTTATTACCGCGTCCTCCATCGGTTCCCAGGTTCTCCGTTTGCCATCGTACTTTATTCCGTTGAAGGCCCTGCACTGGTCACGTTTATCCACATGTAAAAATAATGACAGCATTGATTATGTTATTTAAATTGTATGTTCTAATATTGGGACACATGTAAACAAATATTGGTGATGGACAATGTATTTGAATATCTGATTAAGAGATTTGAGAGCGAGATAGACACCGGCAGTTCATCACCAGCCCACCTCACTACAACATTATTATTATTTGTTCGCTCTCCCTCCAAATTTTTGCAAACTTTTTTAGCTTAAATGACATAGATTAGATTAGTTAGTAGGGGGATGAGTCATCCCGGATGACTATTCGTCCAATTCGTCATCCGGTGCAAGTGAGGATGAATCTACTCATGTGCGTCCCTCCTCACGGTCAGTAAATAGCAAACTTTGCATTAAATTTGTGCATAATATCGCTTTTTTGCATAATTTCACATGCCTAATGTTATATAGACCTGCTAAAAAAAGGGCCAAAGTCGAGTCAGAAAGTGAGAATGATGACGAGGACTCTGGTGACGATGAATGGTCGGATGAGGATGATGACGAGGAGGAAGAAACGTTGGATGAGTGGATAGTCGAGAGGATGAAAGACTTTCACTCTCTAAAAGTTAAACGTATGGGGGCTAACGATCGTGTCAAAATCTCGGTTCTCAAGAACTATTGGGCATATGTAATAACATTACTTTCATATTTGCACAATTGGTATATTAGTATTATTGTTTGTAGGAGAAAGCGTTACTCTCCTCCACGGAGAAAGTCATGCCCTTCACTCCTGCTAAAGATTTCGTGAAGAAATCGAAGTTGACATCAAAGGATAAGGAAATGTTGGATGATGCGATGAAAAATTGTAAAAAATCTGGGAAAAATGCAGAGGCCAGAAAGAAGTACAAATGTAGATACAAGGACGACAAAGGAAAGAAATGTGGGGTGTCAAATTTCTATACTCCGAGTATGTTTCACAAACATCTTGACACGCATTTATCTCTAAAATTCTATCGTTGCAAAATCTGTTCACAAACATATCAACAAGAACCCGGATGCTTGTCCCACATCAAGAGTCATCAATGTACGTTATCATTATTGAATTAAATTTTAGCTATGATTCTCATTTACACAATATAATTATGTTTTTGGATAGTTTTGGACACATTTTCTTGCAAGCTATGCAATATTACTTTCACCCGGAAGGATAATCTATCCCAGCATATCGATGAAGGTCATGCAGACACAGATGGAAAATTGTTTGATGTTGATAAGGAGGAGATTGTCTTTCGACCACGAGTGCAATCCGATTTACTTGGTGTGATATATTACCACGATTTGTTCAGTAATGATAAGTGAAACACTGCTAATTATTTGTGTTATGCATATTATAGTTAAACCTAAAGGGAGAGGTCAGATCCGTCAATCTTACTTTGTCCCTGTGACCAATCCAGAGGGAGAGAAGGATGGATTAGCTTGTAGTTTCACACATATGGAAGATGTCAAAGATGCGGCTCGGGGGATATTAAAGGGAGTCAAGAAAAAAGAAAAATTGGGGACAGTGAGTACAGGATGTGGAAGTTTGAAAGAATTGTTGGCCCTTGGATACACCTACGACCCCGATGACGCAGTATCGTTCCTTATTTTCTCCCATGGAAAGTACTCCTCCAACAAGGTGAAGCTTTGGTTGCGTCGTAAATTGCAAGCCCACTGCATCCACAAGCGAGATGACCACAAGTTAAAATTCAAGGATAAGGAGAAGTATCTCGTCAGAGCAATTAAGAAAGTGTATGATAAGCTGCCAAAGTCGACTCAAAAGTTGGTAGATAAAATGTGATTGTCTTGTAATTGTTAAATCTGATTTGATAATATTGTTATATAACTAGTCATATTTCTAGTTATCAATAAAACATAAGTTAATCGTACCTGGTCACCTCTGTAATCTCGGTTTTCTCCACAAGGCTGAAATGTAATTCAAATAAGCTTCATCGTGATTTTGTATCTTTTGCATCGTCTTAATCCTCTCGAGGTTCAGAGTATTATGAAAGAATTTTTAGTCTATTTATTTCGTATTTCCTCTCATCCTCAGTCAGTGTACATATGGATCTGAGAGACGTGGAGGCTGGGTTTCCAGGCAAAAAGAGTTTTATGGAGTTTTCTTGGTTGGAAGTTGATTGATGTTGGTGGTGATGAGTCAATTGGGAAAGAGTTAAGTGCTCCTCCACCATCATCAATCACTTATCCCACTAAACCACTTCTACACACTTATCATCCACTTATCATAATAAAGTGGAGCGTCCGTTCCACCGAATTGAGGAATATTGGATGCAGTGGATAATTCAATTATCATCAACATATGAAAGAACCACTGTCAAATTAAATATATTTATTTAAAAAACTATGTATCGTTTTCAATTGAATATTTTTCAAACAGCGAAAATTAGTGCTACATAAATCTCAGTAATATATATATTGACATATTTTATGCTTGGTCTTGTTCAATTTACTCTAAATGTTACGTGTCACAGTGTCGCAGACATCCATTTCTCATCATCATATGCATCTCCACCTTTTAAGATTTTTCCAACTACTCAATCAGATATGCATCATAATTTCACACCCTGCTTACGTTCGCTCTTATTTCAAGCAACTATGTAAATAATTAATTCTGAAAAATTGACTATTTAAAGCAAATTGTATAGACCGGGTTATAATTTCTTTGCGTACCTGCATATTGCACATTTTTCTTTTGATTGACACCCCGTGACATCCACTGGGGATTTTGCACCTTCGAAACTGCTGCGTGACGCCTCCATCGCAAGTCTGGCATTTAAAAATAAAACCAATGAGTAAAGTCAATACAGTCCACTAGTTCATATTTACTACTTAAATCATCAAGCATGTGAATGCTATCAAATGCTATTTAATCTAATTGCTTGTGTTGACAAAGTTATAAATTGAAGACGTGGCAACAATGCGACATTATCAAGCCACCATTTATTTGTCATACTCACCCTGGAGCACGGACTCCACTCTGACCACTCTGACCAGTCGTCCCCGTCGTACACCGAGCAGGATGATGGGGCAACCTGGAGACGAAAAAAGTATTTAAGTACTTGCTTTTATTTTAGTTGACAGTTTGGAGAAATTATTTGTACACAGTGAGCATGAATCCAATGCGAAATGGCATAAAATATTGGTGCAAAATGAGAAACATGGCGAGGAAATGAAGGAGTGATAAACCAAAAAAAATTGTACATACATGCTCACTCAATATATACACCATTTTTGATTTAGTTTTCTGTACAAATATTCATCCAACAAAGTTGTGTTTGGTTCAGATATGTATGTATGTAGATAGTAGCGAGGATATCAATTTTTTACGATTCTCCACTGCATTGTGCCAAAGAGTTTGGCGAAAAAGACAAGTTGTAGAGTTCAGCAAATAAGTAGTACATAGGTTAAGGTGGCTATATGCACATGTACATATCTTTGATCCTAGTGTGAAGCACTACCCCCCTCGTTCTAGGAAATAACAGCACTTGCCCACCAAGATAAAGGCTACTTGAAGGACACTCTTCGTCTGGGTGTGTGGCCTAAAAGAATATCTCACAGGGTCCTAGATACATACATAAGTGAGAGGAAAGTAGTGGTTTAGGGCTTGCACCCAGACAGACATGTACATACATAACCAATGTTGGAGAAGGTCTGCTGGCGTGCTCGGGTAATAAATGAATGATAGGAGAAGCAGATCCAGATCCAACATTTTTTGTATTGCCCAAAGTTTAGCGAGTAGAAAGTGATTTGCCAAAAAGTTAATGGTCCATGGGCTCTTTTATACGTATTGTTGGGTTGCTACTTTCAATACCATTTCTTTAGAAGGATATTCCGGCAGAGTGATACGGAGGTCGACACTTGTTCTACCCATTTCTTCATTTGTACAAAATGTATTACTTTAGACTAATTTTGCAAAAATTTGTAGCAAATTCTCGATCTTCTTGATGTCTTGGAAAGTTTCTGATTCCATCGCGTAATGAACGCGATTGAGACTCGTCGTGATTTCAATTGAATACCTCTCTGATGTACCAAGGAAGTGAGTCTAGATGGTCTAGATAGACTAGCAACTTGGCTGGAGCAAGTTGAGAAAAAGTTGTCCTGGTCGGTGCACCTAAAGTTTTAGTTGGTTGCCTCCCGAGTAAAGCAGCAGCAAATGCCTTTCTTTATTCTGGTTCCTTCTCTCCGATCTTCTCTCGTCTTCAATTTAGTTGCCCCTTCTTTACATGCTGCAGATTTATAGTGAACTACCTCCACAGGCTGCATAGGGAATGGCAATAAGTGAACTCGAATGAAATCGACAGAACCAATACATTTTCCAAGTTCGAATCACTTTGATAGTTGAACTTGTTCTAAAATTGTAAGCAAACACACATTTCAGTGAATGCAATATGTGGGCAGAAATAAGTTTGGGTTGTGAATGCAAAAGCAGAAATCAAGTAAGAAATAATAACATTGTTGAAAGCCTACTCGGCGCAGATTTGCCGAAAATCTTTGTCCGTCGCAGTTTTTGTTATCTCTGTAATGAAATTGCATTTGCATTGCGTTTGAGAAAAATTCTGATGGTCCTAAAATCTTTCCTTAATGCAGCAAGACTGCAACATGACCAATATGCATGACCGTTCGCCTTCATTATAAAATAGCCCAGGTACATAAAAGCTACTTTCGTGTGTACTCAAGCACCATGAAATACGATTTCCCAAGCAGATCTCTAACTCTAACCATTCAATGAAGGCAAGGGTGCGACGCAGTTGGTAACATGATACTGATTTACTTCACATGCACAAGATCAGCCCACTTCTATCGAAATCTGTTCAGAATCTCAAATTCCCATCCCAATCCGATCCATACATATCCGCCTCGCATCTTGATCCATCGGTTGGCCAGGAAAAGATGTGTAACGGAGCTGTGCCATCATACATACAACCGACTCTTATTATTATTATGTACCTTTGCTGGCTTCCTTGTGTAATCTGTAATCTGTTCTGCTGCGTAATTTGTATTTGGATTGCTAGCAAATTGGATTCATTTCTCCATTTGTTTTGTTCACGGCTAGTTAGTGTCTTTGGCAAGCAGGGAACATTGAAGTTGAGATTGATTCAGTCAGTCAGGCATGAAGCAGATTTGTTTCTGGTTGAGGTCAGCTAATTGGGGGAAAGCAAGGTGTGGTTTTAGAGTGTCTGCCCCGCAGATTATAATAAAATATCAGGTTTCTCGACGAGCACAAAGTCCATATTGTCGAACTAAATATGTGTATTGAAAAAAATAAACAATAAGGTCTATAGATATGTATTTATATAAAAAATAATTACGACCAAGCTCGCCATATGTATAAATATGTATGTATAAAATTTCAGCTTTAACAACCCTTCCATTACGCAAGGGTACATTCTTTCTACTAAATATACACTGAAACATTTTAAAACTAATTGGTCAACCCCTTCAATGTTGCGTCTTTGTCAATGTGTCAAAATGACGAGACCTTTGCTTACTGCTTTGTCCTAATCTCTGCTCCAATGCCATTCAATTGGATGGGATCATGTTACAGATAATTTTAATTGGACCAATCACACGATCCTATCCCAAGTTGAAGAAGAGAGGAGAATAACGAAGAAAAAAGACATTTATTTTCAACCCTTTTCCTGTTATCACATTCTCAACTTGCACCATTTTTAAGTATAATTCGGATTTCGGTATAAAATCCGGCATAAAATCCAGATCGAGCAGGACGAATGGCATGCAGACCAGATTTGATCTCTCTCAGGAGGGGGTGAGTATCTGTTCATGAATGAGTCTAAATCCAGTTTAACATGTTCTCTTCACTTTTATGAGCATGAATTCAGCATGATTCAAAATCATTGTAATTGGGGATATGCATATCCTTGAAATTGCGTAATGTTTGTGTTAGCATGTAATTTTCTCCTTGCACAGCCACCCAGCCCGACTTTCTCCATCTCCCATTTTATTCAACTCTGAGGATGAAATAGAATAAAATAATGTGATTGGGGATGGGATGATGGCAAGCTGCCAACATGACAGTGTTTTGATGCATCCATCAGCTTTATCTGTTTGTCCTTTACGGTGCCTCTTCTCTATCTATCTCGCTGCTCCGAGCGGCGGAGGAGGCGGAGGAGGAAGGAAATATTATCCAACATCTCATAAAATAACATCACAACAACTACATAAACCAGGCAGACCAAGTATTCTTATCCCGAATAGCTCCGTCCTGCTTAACGTTACGTTTTGCTCATGAAAAATCATATGCATAAACTTGTTTATATAAATAAGGGATTTCTAAAAACTTAGATTTTCGGAATGGTTAGTCGTGAAATTAATTTTTTAGCCGCTCTTGAAGAATTCACTGTGTACTTAATAATATTACAACAACTTTGCTCCTGTTTTCTATTTATGGAAACGCAGACGAGAGAAAGAAAGAGAGAGGTAATGGGTGAAAAGGGGTTGGTTGGTTGGTGGGGAAAGATGCAAAGGAGTGTAAATTCTGCTTACTTTCACTCGTAAAGACAATTGCACAAATCCTTTTTACTTCCTCTATTACGGAATGGGAATCAATAACGAGTACTCAACGAAACTCAACTTTCTTCTCAAACTTGGAGGAAAATTTTGTCGTCGTCGTCGCATTTTGCAGCCTCGTTCGTTCCTTCGTACATATCTCAGTCCAGATCCTTACCAAAATAATTTGAATCCCCAACACAGACAAACACCCAATTTCGCTCGCAAATATTAGCAATGTTCCAACTTGCGGATTGAATAATATTGCTTTCACTTATTTTCCAAACTATTTGTTTTAAATATTTAACATGCTTCTTTCATTTCCTTTTTATTATGTCTCCGTTTACTTACAGTTTCTAATGTTG